GTTTGGCCCGAAGTTATACTACGTCACACACATATACATTTATCTTGATAATAATCATGTAGGCAAAGCATTGGGAGTGGAACACTTGACTGCCCTTGTATTACATAAAAAAAAATGTAGGTAGGTAAGAACTGAGTACTTTTCACTTGTATCTCATCTAAGGCATAGGTTAGGTGTGAGATTTAGGTCAACACTGACTCACGTACCAAGATGTGTGGTACCTGACGAACCTTGTGTAATCACACGGTCCTGAATATCGTGTACTTGGTGGCGTTGAGAGTTAAAAGAAGAGAAGAACGGGGTTATGCATGGAAAAACAAATTATAGGTGAGGTATTTACACTGCAGTCCGAGGATTTTTTTAAAGTGAGGTTACAGTAGTGTGCATATTAATTGAGACAGTGTTAAAATAAGACATTTATTTGGAAAATTAATATTTATTTGAAAAATACACGGGAATGATAATGACAGATAATTAATTTAACAAGAGATATGTCTACCCTTTGTTTTCATAAGCATTGTTACACGCTTTGGCATAGAACTGACCAATATTGAACACATTTTGACAAGTTCTTCGTCATGGTACCAGGTCCTAATAACAACAGTTAGCTTCTCCACAAATGAACAGTCTTGTTTCACGATCCTGCATTTGGTTATTGCCCATAGATTCTTAGCTGGGTTGAGGTCAGGAGAGTTTCCAGGCCAGTTTAAAAACATACCCCGCGCTCTTCGAAGAATGTCAGCATTTTTCTGGAGTGTGGCATGGAGCAAGATTCTGCTGGAAAATGTCTTCTCCATCAGGAAAGTCTCTATCCACAATGGGAAGCAAATGAGTTGCCGGGATTGCCTCGTATTTGTCACTGTTCATCGTTCCCTTAATAATAAACCGTCCAGGGCCTTTAGCAGTAAAACTACCCCAAAACCTCATGGGTGGGTGTTTTGGTGCTTGTTGAATGTGTCCATTCCGAAGAGGTTCGCCTTTGCTCCGTCCCAATACCACTGATATGTACCCATGTACTTCAAAATGCGCCTCATCTGAAAATATAACTTTTCTCCATTAATCTGTCGTCCATCACTTATGATCGAGTGCCCACCGCAGCCGTTTTTTCTTCATAACAGCAGTCAATAATTGTTTCTTTACAGGCTTTCTGGCAGTTCTGCCAACTTCAATGAGCTTTCGTTGAACAGTTGAAGAATTAACATTTACGCCAGCAGAAACCAAATCGCTCTGTAGATTTTTGTTGGTTTTCTTGGGATCCTTCACACTTTTTTTTATGATAACCTTGTCATTATGAGATGTTGTCTTGCGTTGTATTCCACATCTTCCTCGATGCAGCCCTCCACAGTCACCAGTGTCGTCAGCGTCTTCCGAGCCTGACCAACAGTTGACTTTGCTAGGCGGCTCAAATTTTAGGTGATCTGTCTGATACTCAAATCAGCATGTTTTCTAAGAGCTACAATACTTGCACACTTCCTAGCTGTAGCATCCATCATGAACTGAAAGGGAGAATTTGGCAAGACCACATTTACTCACGGAGCACACTTGCAGGAATAGTCTTACAGAACAACAACTGTTGTAGCACTGACGAGAGTCGCTGGGTAACACCACAGCTGGATAGTTGCCAGAAGTCGGTACCAAGCTCTTCTGAAAAGAAAAGAACCCAAACTACATTAAGCCCAAGACTAAGACATATTATGAGATAATCATAAAATTTACTCCTGTCCCAATTAATTTGCACACTACTGTAATCAAGGAAGGTTACTCAAAATTTACCGGGAAGCCAAAGAGGGAGAGACGTGGTTTACAATTAAGTGCGGTTAGTCGTAAACTAAGAGTTTAAGACTAAGGAAAGTGTACAGAAAAAGGAAGATGGATGAAAACAGAGAACTAAGCAGACGAATTAGGAATATTTTTGCAATGTCTTATCATTGCAAAATATGAAGACAAAATTAAAATTACAGCACTGAAGATGACAATAAAGGACAAGTTAGTAAAAAATACTGTGGATTATTGATAAGTTCAGACACTTTCTACTCCCGGGGTCCGGCCATGGGCCAGGCTTGCCTGCTGCTAACCTGGTCAACCATGCTGTTGCTGGTGGCCCACTGCCCCACATATCCATAACAGCCTGGTTGATCTGGCACCTAGTGAAGATACTTGTCCAGTTTCCTCTTGAAGCCTTCTACACTCGTTCCAGCAGTGTTTATAATTTCTGGTAAGATATTGAATAGGGGCCATGGATGTTGATACAGTGTTCCCTTATTGTGCCCACTGCACCCCCTGCTTTTCACTAGATTTATTTTGTTCTTCCTCCAATATCTCTCTCTCCGGTATGTTGTTATGGAAGTGTGCAGATTTGGGACCAGGCCCTCATATACTTTCCAGGTATATATTATCATGCATCTCTCTCTCCTCCGCTCCAGTGAGTACATGTTCAAAACTTTAAGGCGTTCCCAGTAATTTAAGTGCTTTACTGGCTCTATGTGTGCCGTAAACGATCTCTGTATCTGTTCCAACTCTAATATTTTTCCTGCCTTGAACGGGGCCGTCAAAACTGAGCAATATTCCAAATGAGGGAGCACTAGCGATTTGAAAAGAGTTATCACTGTCATTATTTCCCTTGTTTTGAATTTTCTCAATACTCACCCCGTCATTCTTCTGGCTGTCGTGACCTTTGTCTTATTATATTATTTGAAAGAAAGGTCAGCTGACATAATTATTCCCAAGTCTTTTACTTGTTCCTTTCGTTCTATCTGATGATCCTCTTGAGTTTTGTATACAGTGTTCTTGGTGAGTTATTCATGCTTTCCTTATCTAAGCAGCGGGAACTTATCACCACTAAACGTCATGTTCTCCACTGCCCACTGGAAAACACTGCTCATATCTTCCTGTAATTTTTCAGTGTCTTCTACCAAAGTGACTTTCATATTTATTTTAGTGTTATCTGCAAATGATGATACAAAACTGTGACGGGTGTTTTATCTGTCTGCTATGAGGATGGGAAACAGCAGAGGTGCCAGGACAGTGCCTTGGGGAACTGAGGTTTTTACCTCATTGATGATGGATTTTGCTCTGTTTACTTTTGTGTTCTGTGTTAGGGACCTGAAAATCCATCTGCCTACCTTCCCCGTAGTGCCTCTGGTCCACACTTCTTGCGCTATCACTTCATGATCGCATTTGTCAAACGTCTTTGCAAAATCTGTGTATATCACATCTGCGTTTTGGTTGTCTTCCAATGCTTCCGTAATTCTGTTATAGTGGTTCAGTAGCTGTGACAGGTATGATCATCCTGCTCCAAATCCATGCTGGTTTGGGTTATGCTAGTTGTGCTGGTCCATGAAATTTGTAATTGGACGTCTCATCACTCTTTCAAAGATTTTTTTATGATAAGGAAAGTTAGGGCTATTGGTCTGTAATTTTAAGGTTAGGTTACAAAGAATGAAGTAACCAGGTAACAGGGAAGATGTTCAAGTGGATGTAAGAGTACATGGGGAACAGAAGACAGACGGTAATGACAATGAAAGTTTCAAAGTTGGCATATATGACGGAATACTCAAGGACCAGCACTTTGGTCCTTGTTGTTTCTCATGTACAGTATTTAAATGATCTACCAATGGATATTAAATCATACATATTTATATGACGGGAAATTATTAAAAACAAGTGCATCGGCCAAGTGCCGGATCAACCAGGTATGATGGTTATGCAGATCAATGTGCTGCAGGCAACAACAACCTGGTTAAGCAGGCGAGCACCAACTAAGCATGACCCAGGATCGGGAGTAGGGAAAATTCTCGAAACCTGTCACAGGCCAAAGATACAGAGATGAGAACACAGCATCCAGGAAGGACAGGGAGAGGATAAGCAGCAGCATCTTAGATCCTTTGACGAAAAAAAAGGACAACTACGAGAAGTAATACAAACTGGGCATAATACCCACATGCAAGACGACATGTGCAAAAACTAGCCAACTTAAGAACGGCTTTCAAGAATCATAACACATTTCATTTTTGGATATCATACACAATTCACGTCAGATCCATCTTGGAATATGTGGCTTCAGCGTGGAGCTCGCTCCTGGATCAAGAATTTAAAGAAATTAGAGAAGCTGTAAAGGCTAGAGCGAGAGTGCCACGAGTAGAGGCTTGAGGAACTCAGTACTAAAGAGGAGATCCAAGGCTTCTTGATCGTGACTTACAACTGATCAGGGATCAGATAAGGGACGAAGATTAAAGGGGGTTGGACAAGGAACTGTGATTCAATCCCATCTAACACAGGTGAGCCCGTACTGGACGGTGTTTAACCTGAGGCATATCACGTAAACAGATTGGTACGTCAGATATACCTGTGTTATCAATCGTGTTCATTCTCATTCTCATTCTCTCTCTCTCTCTCTCTCTCTCTCTCTCTCTCTCTCTCTCTCTCTCTCTCTCTGCAAAATACCCCATTAAAAGTAGGGGCGCCATTCGTACACTAAGAGAAAACACCATAAGTGTCCGGGGCCCAAGACTGTTCAACAGCCTCCCACCATGCATAAGGGGAATTACCAATAGGCCCTGGCTGCCTTCAAGAGGGAGCTGGACAGATACCTAAAGTCACTGCCGGATCAGCCGGGCTGTGGTTCGTACGTTGGACTACGTGCGGCCAGCAGTAACAGCTTAGCTGGTCAGGCTCTGATCCACCGGGAGGCCTGGTCGTGGACCGGGCCGCGGGGGCGTTGATCCCCGGAATAACCTCCAGGTACAGAATATAGAAGGAAACGCAGGCAAACATAAATATCATGGGCACTAGTGATTACGTGATTATTATTATTATTATTAATATTATTATTATTATTAGTACGACATTCATGGGTGAACGCCACACCCGTAGGGTTCATAAATGTATTTTCCCTCCATATTATATAAGAACATATTTACTCGTCTATTTACTAATTCAGAATTTTTGTATTTGATCTTTCTAATATATCTGAGCTCATTTTTATCTTTCTTTTTTCTCAGACTGAAGATGGAGATCTAGACTCCTGAGAGAACAGGATTTCGACCTCACTGATCAGAACACCGGGGAAGTTCATCTCTTCCCTCCCCCTTCCTCCCTCCCTCCTCCCTCCCTCCTGCTGTCACAGAAGCTGTGATGGAGTCCAACGCAGGAGTAGACATGGAAGACTACTGGAATGAAGTCCGCATTTACAGGAGTAACTCCCACTCCACTTCCCAGTCCGAGGAGGAGTCCAGGAGCCATGAGGGTGAGTCCAGGAGCCATGAGGGTGAGTCCTGGAGCCATGAGGCTGTCACCCCTCCCCCGTCTTCTCAGTCTTATATTTCCTATGTCTCTTTTTCCTAATGGTGTTTCCTTTTGTTGATTCACAGTTCCTGGCTCCGCCTCAGGACTGCTGTCAATATGTTTACACTAATTTCTAGTCTACAAAACGCTATCATGTGTACTCTTGAAACCGTACTTCCAGCTCTTTGTTTAACATGCTTCAATCATCACCGTAAGACTAAAAAGTACTTCCTAACGTTTCTGTGGTCCCTCTGCGCCTGTAATTGTCATCTATCTTCCTTGACTCCTCTCCGTATATCTCAGACAGGCTGTCTCTATCCACCCATTGTAAATTTCTTGGTGTGATTCGGTTCATACTTCATGGGTAAAGATTTATACTGATGGATCAAAGAAAGGGGTGTTGGCTTTGTTGTGATTGCTGGCGAGGACTTTTATTGTGTACTTCTACAAGAGAGTTCTCTGTGTTCACTGCAGAACTCCAGGCAATCGTAACTACTCTTGCTTGGTTCTCAGTTCACTGTGTATTCAGATTCCCACTACGCTGTGGCTGCACTGACCCAGTATGCCTCTCCACCCCGTGGTACACAAGATCGAAGAGTGGTTAACTTGTCTGTACGCGTGGCAGGAGGCAGTTAGCATCCTGGCGGCCATGTTGGAGTCTGAGAAATGAATGGCCAAATGCTGAGGAAAAGGCTGCGGTAGGGAACCCACTCTCCAGTGACTTCATGGGCCATTTTCACAGAGAAGTGGCAGGCCCGGTGGGCCTAGCAAACTTGGAACAAGTTATACAGGGCTCGACAGGACGAGGGTGTCTGGTCCTGCTCATGGCACAGGAATTGTCACTTTGAGACGAATGTTTGTCGATTGAGGATTAGGCACACATATCTAATCCATAGCCACTTGTTTACAAGTGTTCCTGTCCCCTTCTTTGTAGCTTGTGGCGTACCGCTGACTGTGGAATACATTTAAACTGTCTGCTCTCAGAGGCATAGGTCTTTCTGCCTTCATCATTGTATTTATAAACCGAGGTACCTGTAGAGATCCCGGGGAACTTTTAGGAAAAATGAGGTTTTTGATGCCAGTTATTTTAACCTGGTATGACAGTATATATTATTGCGTTGTATTTATTCATGCTCGTAACTTTTGTCTGTTAATTTTACCTTTGTTTTAATTGTGTCAGTCAAATACATAATTAGTTTTTATTGGTACGACCAGTGAGTGACCTACACGATCCAAGTGTTTAATAAATATCACAGCTACTGCCAGTACTGCTCCTCCTCTCTTCTGATAATAATAATAATAATAATAATATCTTTATTTCTACAAGTACATGTACAAGGTATACAGTCTTAGCTGATATCAATGACATACTACTATATAGAAAGCCACTTGTTATGCAGAGCATTTCGAGCAAATTAGGTCAGTTTTGTCCCAGGTTAACGCTCTCGCTTCACACGGTGAGGGCCTGGGTTCGATTCCCAGCCAGAGTAGAAACATTGGACGTGTTTCTTTCCACCTGTTGTCTGTGTTCCCCATCAGTAAAATGGGTACCTGGGTGTTAGTCGACTGGTGTGGGTCGCATCCTGGGACACTGACCTAAGGAGGCCTGGTCACAGACTGGGCCGCGGGGGCGTTGACCCCCGGAACTCTCTCCAGATAAACTCCAGATAAACACCAGTCGACTAACACCCAGGTACCTAGTTTGCTGATAGATGAACAGGGACAACAGGTGTGAGGAAACCCGCCCAGTGTTTCCACCCCTGCCAGGAATTGAACCATGGACCCTCAGCATGTGAAGCGAGAGCTTTGCCTACCAGGCCACGGGCCATCTTTAAGTTTTTAAGTCTCTCCTCACAGTTCATTTCCTCAAGTTTTGTCACCTTTCTTCTTGCAAACCTTTGTATTTTTTCTACTTTCTGTAAGAACTTGACCAAGTGCTGGTTACTTGCTGGCTCTATGTACTCAAGGCTCGGCCTAATGTAAGTTGTGTACAGTGTCCTTAATATTTTTTTTTTCATAAGATTCTGAAAGTTATTATGTTTGGTTTTCATGTGCCATTGGTTATACGAATTGACTGTACTTGTGGTGATATGCTTAGTGCAATGCTTACTCCTTGATCCTCCTACTCGCACGTTGTCTGCAGACTCAGTGCAGTCTCTCTCTGAAGTTGTGTTTTGTATCCGGGCTTCTCACTCTGCCATTCTAATTAGTTTGCACCACTCAAAAGTGGAATCAAGAAACCACCTTGTTTAATAATCTCGGAATCTATCCCTTTCCTCTCCATTTGTTAGAATTTTTCACTAATTACACTTAATTAGCAGTCTTATATAGGAATTACTTTCCTCCTGAAGGTCCTTTATGTATAACATGAACTGCAGGAGTCCAAGCACTGATCTTTGAGGGACTCCACTCGCCACCAGAGCCAATTTCGATGCCATTTCTTCTTACTATTCCTTTCTGCCTTCTGTTCTCCATTAAGTAGTCCAGTGAGTATTTTGTATGTCATGATCAAGTGTTCTCATCATCACTTAACACCATTCACAGATGAAGGCGAATCAGATGAACATTTCTTGGAGGAGCTGGGATTACAACTACCACCAGACTCTGAACTCTCTGAAGACAACAGTACCCTCAGCAAATTTATGGGCACCCTCAACCCTCGGCAGGTAAATTATTTATTATTATTATTACTATTATTACTTTGGAGGGGGGGACTTTAGAGAAAGGACTGATAGAGATTTTGGAAGGGGGGCTTCCATCCCTGCCCTTGGTTTTTCCTTGTGCCGCCACAGGTGTATATCTTATTTACATTTTTAATATAAAATAAATTCATTTACCAAATATTTAAGAGTTTCCGGCGCCAACCACTTGACGAATGGAGGGAAGAGAGCATAATGTGAAAATAGAGAGAATTCAGATGATCACTGCTGTCTTTCATGGTTGTTGCTCTAAATCTGACAAAGTTTTCATCCTGCAGGAGGAAGCCCTCAAGCGTCGTGTGCGTACACTCAATGCAACCATACGCAGAAAAAAGCAGCGACAGAAGCCAGATATACGCAATTTCTTCACTAACACAGACGTAAGTCATGGGCACTTCTAGTGATGTTCATTTGCGGTCATCTTTGGCATAAAGTGTCACCAGTAAGGTCTAAAGTGCTATGCCGACACTCATAACCTCTCTCTCTCCTCGTAACCTCTGTCTCTCCTCTCTTAAAAGCACTTATAATATGTACGTAAATCATGTGAAGTTCTCTGTAGCAGCCATAATGGAAGTTAAATACATTACTCAGGGTTTTACTGAAATATACTGAAAATTTTGGTATTAAGTATAATGCAGTCAAGGTTTTCTCTCTTGAAGCCATTAATTAAACCCATTCTAAATCTTCAAGATGGCTGGTTCATGTATACCACATCCTCCAGAGGTGTTTTAATTCCTTCTCAACCATTCCACCTTTGTCAGCCACTTATACACCTTCCTCAGCCACTCCTCCACCCATTCCAGCCACTCCTCCACCTATCCCAGCCACTCCTCCACCCATCCCAGCCACTTTTTCACTCATTCCAGCCACTCCTCCACCCATCCCAGCCACTCCTCCACCTATCCCAGCCTCTCCTCCACCCATCCCAGCCACTTTTTCACCCATCCCAGCCACTCCACCTATCCCAGCCACTCCTCCACCTATCCCAGCCACTCCTCCACCCATCCCAGCCACTTTTTCATCTATCCCAGCCACTCCTCCACCTATCCCAGCCACTCCTCCACCTATCCCAGCCACTCCTCCACCTATCCCAGCCACTCCTCCACCCATCCTAGCCATCACTGCAATCCTGACACTGATCATCGTGTGTGTTCCACCTACAGAACTCCAGCACTGGCACTAGGAGCCGCAGTGCCACTCCTGACTCCCTGGATTCAGTGTCACCCCCGAGAACTCCCCCAGATCCCCACCCCAAGTCGTGGGTCGACCCTTACCTCAGTCGTTCCAGGGGGTCGTTAGACTCTGGCAACCACTCCCTGGTGACGACTCCCTCTGTCATCGCAGCACCAACACCGTTCACCACCATCAGCCACCACGACCATCACCACCACAATGAGCACCACGACCACCACCACCACGACCACAACGACCACCACAATAGAAGTCACGCAGGAGTCAGGCGGCACACTCCACCCAGCGATACCTCCACCAGGTATCGTAATACAGTTGATCAATGAACAAGCGGGTTTAAACCACGTGCGTCCACTTACACGCGGATTATTTTTCCAATAAGTATATTGGATTCTTTTGAGATTTGCGACCGAAAAAAAATAATAAAAAGTTAGGCACGTCATGAATGCATAAATTACATATAGATACTAGTCTATTTTGTCATTTACCACCACAAAATATGCACAAATCTATTATAAAAAAAATTAAAAAAAAAAATGACAAAATTGATGCACACAAACAACTGCAGATCATAAATGTTCCATACACAGTCTAGAGAAATGCAGATGTAAAGATGCAATATTAAATCATAAATATGATTTTTTATCACATTGTCTTCACATTTTTGATGTCTAGTGTTAGTAATACGTATAACATCTACAGAGTTTATCATAGAAGATAATGTTTGTGGAAAATTTACATAATTTCCTAAATGTAAATGAATAATATAATTGCGTATTAAAATGTGATGCTATTTGCACCCTTCGATAAATTTCGAGTGAGGTGGGAGGCAGAACAGCCGGGGGAGTGATGCTGCAGAGGAGAAGACGCCATAATGAATTTAATGTGTGAACATTGGACTGAATTGTGGAATGTAATCAGGTGTTCTCGAAGGTCAATCCATAATCTAAAAAATGTTGACACGTTCCTGCTGATGAACTGGGATAAATAATGTGGAAAACCCTTACAATTCGACAACCAGGACAGAAAAATAGAGGACACCAATTCTCCCAGGAGTACACCACAGCTAAGTGATGCTTACCCATAAGATACAGTAGTTTTTGTATTGGCCTTCGTAAATTTTAGCTGTTAGAGTAAGGTTAGGGTGTGTTCCATCAGTATTGTCTTCCTGTGACAAATGGCAAGTGGTAATATGAACTTCTTTTGTGTACCCAGTAAACCTAATCATATACAGTACACATTATTTAATAATTAATTTACCATTATTGGTATTAATATTTAATATTGCAATTATTAATTTAATGTCAGGTCTAGCTTCTTGTGAGAGTGGTGAAGAAATGAGCTCACCATTGAGGGAGTTACAGTTCAGAGACCTACTGTGACTTGAGTCCCACTTATCTCACCCAAATTACTTGCCTGTAATAACTCAGGTAATACCCTGTAAATCTCATACAGGTAATTTACTCTAATAATAATAATAATAATAATAATAATAATAATAATATTATTATTATTATTATTATTATTATTATTATTATTATTATTATTATTATTATTATTATTATTATTATTATTATTATTATTATTATTATTAATTCAAATGAGCCTTTGGTCCTAACGAATTCGGATATGTAATGAGGGAAAATTTAATTTAATTTAATGATTTGACAAAGTAATGGATTGTTGGGTTCACATATAACTGACATAATTAATTACTGGTGTTTGTGTAGTGGATTATAGTTGCCACAATTAATTGGATTTGCATGCCCAGTGGGGCTGGAATTGTATTTATTATACATTTGTAATATTAATAGACATATGTAATTATGTAAATTAATTGCTAAGCCCAGTGAGGCTAGGATTGTAATTGTTATAATTGTTAATCTGCTAAGCCCAGTTAGGGCTATGAATGATAATTGTCTTGTTTCTGATTATAATAATTATAATTATTTTGCTAAGCCAGGAAATATTTGACTAGGATAGTTGGTACATATTGTAATAATTATTAGAGTGTCTCATTGTATAATCTGTACAACCAGTGTTCATTAATTGAGTCTAATACATAAAGGAGCCATGGATGAAAGTAATGTAATTAATATGAATGGAAGGTCCATGGGAATTAAAACTATATAGGCATCATTAAATGGAAAAAAAAAAACCATGTGACCAGAGCTTATAATAAATGCCTGGAATTGGTGGCAGAAGAAACTGTGAATAAGGTTAATTTAGAATTATATTTGGAATCATTAGAAAATACGTTTGTGTCATATAAACTGTATTACAAAGAATATGAAGGAGATCTGCTGGTGAATTGTGCAGATGATAATGAAAGGGAATTACGTATTAATTAATCGATATTATGAACTGGAAGATAAAATACTGTCATGTAAAAGTGAGGTATTAAATAAATTAAAATGTGTAAATACTGCCATTGAGCAATCTAATAATTTAAATCCCAGATCTTTGCCCAAACTCCCAGAGTTATGTCTACCAACATTTAGTCCAGGAGACAACTGGAAGGAATTCTGGTCAGTATTTAAAGCTGCTGTGCATGTGAGGAATGACCTAGCAGATGTCACAAAAATATTTTATCTTAATTCCTTTTGTAACCTATCTCTACACCTAACTATATCATCATCTAAATATAGCCCTAATTTTTCTATTATTGAACCTTTTACAAATTTCCCTTTTAACAACAATTTGGTTTCATCTCTCTATTCATTTATTAACACAATTATTAGATTATAACAGTAACAGATATTTACTGTTCCATTTAGTTATTAATTATTAGAGCAAGGAAGCTTACCATATATTACATGCTGTTTTTAGAAGATTAACACCACATTTCCTTACCAGAGGCGTTGCTAAGGTTGGTGTCACCCGGGGCGGCATGAGAGAAAATAATTTTGTGACATCTGCTAAGTCATTCCTCACATGTACAGCAGCCTTAATACTGACCAGAATTCCTCCCAGTTGTCTCCTGGACTAAATGTTGGTAGACATAACTCTGGGAGTTTGGGTATTTACATTACTAGATTGCTCAATTGCAGTATTTACACATTTTAATTTATTTAATACCTCACTTTTACATGATAGTATTTTGTCTTCCAGTTCACAATATCGATTAATTAATAACTCCCTTTCATTATCATCTGCACAGTTCACCAGCAAATCTTCATATTCTGTGTAATACAATTTAAATGACACACACCTTTTCTCTAATGATTCCAAATATAATTCTAAATTAACCTTATTCACAATTTCTTCAGCCACCAATTCCAGGCATTTATCGTAAGTTCTGGTCACATGACCTTTATTTTGCATTTAATGATGCCTTTAAAGCCTTATTTCCCATTTTTTCTGCATTAATTATATTATCTTCATCCATGGCTCCGTTATGTATTAGACCCAATTAATGAACACTGGTTATACAAACTGTACAATGAGACACTGGTATAATTATTACAATATACACCAAATATCTAGCCATATATTTCCAGGCTTAGCAATTTATTATTATTATTATTATTATTATTATTATTATTATTATTATTATTATTATTATTATTATCAGAAAGAAGACAATTATCATTCTTAGCCCTAATCGGGCTTAGCAAATAATTTATATAATTACATAATTCCATTAATATTACAAATGTATAAGAAATAAATTCCAGCCCCACTGGGAATGCAAATCCAGTTAATTGTGGCAACTATAATCCATTACACAAATACCAATAATTAACCCTTTGACTGTCGCGGCCGTATATATACGTTTGCGAGGTACCGTGTTTGACGTATATATACTCATAAATTCTAGCGGCTTCAAATCAGGCAGGAGAAAGCTAGTAGGCCCACATGTGAGAGAATGGGTCTGTGTGGTCAGTGTGCACCACATAAAAAAAATCCTGGAGCACGCAGTGCATAATGAGAAAAAAAAAACTCCGACCGTTTTTTTTAATTAAAATGCCGACTTTGTGGTCTATTTTCGTATAGTATTTGTGGTTGTATTCTCGTTTTCTTGGTCTCATTTGATAGAATGGAAACTATATTATAGAAATGGAGGTGATTTTGATTAATTTACTATAAAAAGAACCTGGAAATGGAGCACAAAGTACAGGAAATGTTTGATTTTTGCCGATGTTCAAAAGTGAACAAATGATGTCATTGTCCAATAAATGTCCAAATATCCATTCTAATACGCAGTCATGAATGGGTTGATGTAATTTTTACAATTATTACAGTATTGCAGTAGTCTGCATAACAGTAAATCTTCTATTTTTTTGTTTGAATAAAATTTCAAAATAAAAAGCAAGAGTAATATCACAGGGACCTGGAGACATGACTGATGAACAAAGAAAATGTTATTTTAGAGCCAGGAATGTCTGCATTGTTCATTCTGGACCTTATTTTGAAATTGTCGTATTTTTTAATTTTCGTGAAATTGGCCAAATTGCAAATTTCTGACCATGTTATTGGGTAGTTGAAATCGGTAAATGGGCAGTTTCTTGTACTCAATCGATAGAAAAAATAGAGTTCTGAAGAAAATAGTTATGAGTTTGGTTGACTGGAATAACGGAATTAGCCGAAAATAGGGCTCAAAGTGGGCGAAATTGCCGATTTTTAAATATCGCCGAAGTCGCTAACTTCGCGAGAGCGTAATTCCGTCAGTTTTCCATCAAATTTCGTTTTTTTGGTGTCTTTACAATCGGGAAAAGATTCTCTATCATTTCATAAGAAAAAATAATTTTTTTTTTTTTCGAATATTTTGCGACACCAGAAGCAACTTCAGGATTTGGCCCTTCGACAGTCAAAGGGTTAAGCAATGACAATTATATGTGAACCCAGCAATCCATTACTTTCAATCAAATCATTAAATTAAATTAAATTAAATTAAATTTTTACTGATTACATATCCAGTTCGAAGGACCAATGGCTTATTTTGTGAAAATTATTATTTTTATTATTATTATATGAGCAAATCACCTGCAGGAGGCATACAGGGCATTACCTAAATTATTACCTGCCAGTAATTTGGGTGAGGTAAGTGGGGTTTAAATCACAGTAGGTGGCTGAACTGCAACTCCTTCGATGCCCACTTCCTCACCACTCTCACCAAAAGCTAGACCTGACATTAAATTAATAATTACAATATTAAAACCAGCTACTCTGGTAATTAAAGTTAAGTGGACTGTATGTTATATTGGTTTACTTGCTGGGTACACAAAAAATATAACTATTAGTACAATACATATAATACAATAGTGTTATTAGAAAAGAACTTTGTATTACCACTTACCATTTAATTACTGTAGATGGATCACACCACAACACTTGCCTAACACCTGACCAGCTAGTGATCTAAATGCAAGGACTAATGGTGCACTTCTCTGTGTAAGTGATGGCATAGTCTCCTTATTTTCCACCATCCATATGTAATTCTTGAAGTCTCACAAATTTCCTGTCCTAATTCTTCAGCAGGGGACATTAATACAGGTTCCTAATACAAATTCAGGCCAAAACACCCCAATTTGGCCTCGGAAGATGCCGAATTACATTGCACAATTACTTCCAGTGTTCACACGTTAAATTCAACATGGCATTTCTCCCCAGCGTCACTTAGCAGCTGTTCTACACCCCCTCACTCGAAATTTCTCAAAAGGGTTAAATCAGCATTACATTTTATTACGCAGTTATTGTATTATTCAAATTTACTCATGCTGAATTTAGGAGAATCCATAATTTTCCACAATATTGATGTAGGTAATGACAGACAGTTCATCCTGGTAACAGATGACGTAACCTTACGGTATCAATAAATACAGTACAGTTATAACTATGGCCATAATTTTTAAAGGGGTGGACTGGTAAGCTAGTGGAAGGCCTAGGTCAGATAACCAAAAGCTCCAACGGCGGGTCATCATCTGACTAAGACCCGCGTCTTAGATGAACCTTACCTAACCGAACAGTACAAATGTATTTTCTCTTCCTTATGATTTTCCTAATAACATTTTCTTTACTGTAGCTTACTTTATTGTAAGAATACAGTATATAATACTATAGTAGGCTATTAATAGTTAACTTTTGGGAGTCAAAAGTTATACGCGGATTTTCGACTATGCGGGGGGTTGGCGCCCCTAACCCCCGCATTGTTCAAGGGTCAACTGTATATTCATAGGGAAGCTCTAAACCCTAACGGCTCTTGAAGAATAGGAAGCTTTCTTATTATCGGGAAGCACTAAATATGTAGGGATCATATATGTAGCCCTTGGGAAATGGGAAACAATCAGGTTTGAACCAAGGAAGAAGGTACTTCCAGTTCCTTGGATCAAGTGTCTTTGAGCACCTTTAAGGTGTTCCTGCTGGAAGTAGCTACTGTACTTGGTAGGTTAACGAGGCTCAATAAATCAAATCAAATCCTTTATTTCTTTGTACATTACAGTGTGTAGTTTACATGTAACAAAATTTGTCAAGCAGAAAGCCGCTAGCATCCATGAACCTGTTGTCTAAACGAGGGTCATTAAGGCTGCATGGGTGGGTAGTTAATGAGGGTTAAAGCCTATCGATTAAATGAGGATCATTAAGACTGTTAAGGCACCTGAGATAAGGCACCTCTCTCAAAAGGATATGCTCTTGTTGGGTTAACTGTTTTGGTCACTGTATCATTGTATCATTATTCTCGTATGCAAAATACAAATACTTTTTTTCATAATTAATGCATTGTACATACAATAATCTGAAGACCTATAGGACACAAAGGAGAATTAAAACCAGACAGCATTTCGTTTTAGGAGGGGGGGATGTGATTAAAGTGTAAAAGTGGAAAACAGGAATAAATACAGGGGATATAAACAGCTTGTTAAAAATAAAATTCTTAAAAAAAACACAAGACTCGCAGCTATGGATTTAAATTAGATAAATTTAGTTTTAGAAAGGATATAGTGGAGTACCAGTTGGGCAATAGATTTGTGGAACAAACTCCTTGGGAGTGTCCGTCATTGAGACGAGAACCTTAGATAGCTTTAATTAAATGTATGATGGACGGCACTTGGGGTGGGCGTGAGCCAGACCTGCCTAGCATGGACCAGTAAACCTGCTGCAGCGTTCCTTCATTCTTGTGTTCTTGTTTATAATGGTGAGGTACTATTCTTGTTGATAATGGTGCATTGTTCTTATAATAGAACACTGTTCTTGTTTATAATGGTGCCTTATTCTTGTTTATAATGGTTCCTTATTCTTTTTTTTTTTTTTTTTTACACAGGGTTTGACAAGGTTAGGTTAGGGATCCCTAGCTTTATTGACAAGCTATTTACAGGTTAAGGATTCCTAACTTTATTGGCAAGCTATTTACAAGTTAAGGATTACTAACTTTATTGGCAAGCTAAGAGCTGTTACCTACATCAGCTCATTTGAAAGCATTTTTATTGTTATGAGACATACAAGTAGGAAACAGCACGAACTTGGAGCCATCTGTGGGCCAGCATTTTCATTTGATCAACTGACTTTATCTCTTTGACATCATTATGCTGTACAAATGTATTCCATACTCGAGTCATCCTGGGTATATATGATCTCAGATGGAGTGATGTTCTGGAGAAGGGTACAGCCAGAGTGAAGTTGCTGCTTTCTGCCCGTCTTGTGGCATAAAAGCTTGTTTCACGCTGTCCTCGAAGTGGATTCAAGTGTGGTACTTTGACAATATTGGCCTTGTACATAACAGTAAGGCCACCCACATCCCTCTTGTGTTGAAGGCTCTGCTGAAATGACAGATCTATCCAGGGTGGGTCCAGGCGAGAGATGAGACGTCTTGCTCTGTTCTCTACTCTGTCAAGTAGTCGCAGATGAGAGGGGGGGCAGGCAAACCAAGAAAGTGGAGCATACTCAAGGTGTGAGCGTACTTGTGCCTCATACAGAATCTTGCAACCCCTACTGTCAAGCAGATGCGAGATACGACGAAGTGCTGTAAGCTTCCTGGCTGCCTTGTTTGCAAGATTTACAATATGGTTCTTCATGGTTACTTTGGAGTCAGATTTCACCCCAAGGATATAAACTTCTCCAGGTGCCAACACTCTCCCATTCATCCTTACTACTGCACCAGCATTACCATCATGGTGCCTAGAGACCATCATCATTTGCGTTTTCTCAGGTGCAAATGTTACTTGCCATCTATTTCCCCAAGCTGATATAGCTCTCAGCTGGTGATTGATGTAGCTTAGAGCAGCTGGCATTTCTTCTCTTGGATAAGTGAATGTCAGTGTACAGTCGTCTGCATATGCATGGGATTCTGGGATGAGATGAAGAAGGTTGTTGAAGTAGACATTCCATAACAATGGTCCCAGCACGCTTCCTTGTGGAACACTTGCCCCAATAGGATGTCTTGCTGATTCCGTTCCATTGAGAACTACACTTAGAGATCTACCATGAAGGTAATCACTGAGGAGACATAGCGTAGAGCCTGCAATTCCCAGTGCTGAAGTTTTGCTAAGAGGCCCTGGTGCCACACCTGGTCGAAAGCACCAGCAATGTCCAGTGCTACCACACAGCTGACTTTGGATTCATCCAGTGACTGGTGCCACTTAGTGGAGAGGTTTAACAACAGATCAGCAGCAGAGTAACCTTTCCTGAAGCCATATTGACGATCACAAAGTAGCGAGTGGTAGTCAAAAAACTCTGTCATTTGTCTTGAGATTATTGTCTCAAGGATCTTACCAGTGATTGACAGGAGTGACACTGGTCTGTAGTTGCTGATTTCTGCTCTGATCTTCTTTTTGTGAACAGGGACTACATTTGCCTCTTTCCATAGAGAGGGCCATTTACACTGTACTAGGCAGTGCTGAAAGATGCAAGTTAGAGGTGCTGCTAGCTGGTCTGCACATCTCAGCAATCTTGGGCTCAACTTGTCAGGGCCCACAGCCTTTCCTTGGTCAAGCGATTTAAGAAGGAAATGCACCTCCTCCTGCCTTATTGTCGCCTGGAGTTTACCTGGAGAGAGTTCCGGGGGTCAATGCCCCCGCGGCCCGGTCTGTGACCAGGCCTCCTGGTGGATCAGAGCCTGATCAACCAGGCTGCTACTGCTGGCTGCACGCAAATCAACGTACGCGCCACAGCCCGGCTGGTCAGGAACCGACTTTAGGTGCTTGTCCAGTGCCAGCTTGAAGACTGCCAGGGGTCTGTTGGTAATCCCCCTTATGTATGCTGGGAGGCAGTTGAACAGTCTCGGGCCCCTGACACTTATTGTATGGTCTTTTAACGTGCTAGTGACACCCTTGCTTTTCATTGGGGGGATGTTGCATCGTCTGCCAAGTCTTTTGCTTTCGTAGTGAGTGATTTTCGTGTGCAAGTTCGGTACTAGTCCCTTTAGGATTTTCCAGGTGTATATAATCATGTATCTCTCCCGCCTGCGTTCCAGGGAATACAGGTTTAGGAACCTCAAGCGCTCCCAGTAATTGAGGTGTTTTATCTCCACTGACAGTTTTGACAGAGTTCTTGCAGCTAGCCAAGGGGGATCCCTTGCTGGATCAGGAACTTGCATTTTGGTAGCAAAGTGTTCGGCAAAGAGGTCCGCTTTCCCTTGACTACTAGTAGAGGTGGTCTCATCCTGTCGATTTAGAGGTGGAATGAGTTCATCAGGCAGATAACCTTGTCTGTCCTTGACAAGGGACCACCAGGTTTTGGAGCCTACCCTACCTGATGCTAGCTTTCTTTTTGGTTATAATGGTTCCTTGCTCTTGTTTATAATGGTCCCTTGTTCTTGTTTATAATGGTCCCTTGTTCTTGTTTATAATGGTCCCTTGTTCTTGTTTATAATGATGCATGCTCCTGTTTATAATGATATTGTGACGACAGGCAGCAGAGGTGGGTGGACGACCCTTCACGCCTGTACCGGGCACCATCACTGGACATGCTGCCCAAGCTGGTGGTGGAGCCCAGTAAGAACAAGGAACTCAGACGTCAGAGGTCCTATGCCAGGGACATCGCCAGGGACGTAAAGAGCTTCCACTCCTCCAAACAAGGACTCTATGAGTTCTACCCCAAGACTATACCAGACGACCATGGTTAGTGGCCTTCCAAGTTTTTATTATTATTATTATTATTAGTTATTATTATTATTATTATTATTATTATTATTATTATTATTATTATTATTAGTTAGTGAAAGTGCTAAATCCATAAGGGGCTTAGTGTTGCAATTCTACCTTGAATTCATAAGTTGTTAGCTGGTTAATTTTTTTTTTTTTATTATGGTAAGTTCATGGGGAAGCACCAAACCCATAAGTCATATAGTGCAATGGAAATGGGAGATAATCAGGTTTGATCAAAGGAAGAGGAGCTGACATGTTCAAAGAGTCATGGCATTTCTCATGAATTTTCTATAGTGAGTAATGAAGAAAAAGCAATATATGTTTTTAACACACCAGAAATCTCCCACCCAGACAAGGTGACCCAAAAAAAGAAACAAAATTTGCCTTCTTTTAACATTTACAGGTGTACATCCCTTTATCCGAAACCCTTGGGGTCTGTATTGTTTCAAATTTCAGACTTTTGAATTTCAGAATGATTCTCAATGCCACCACGTGGCGGCATGACCAACACGGAGATGACTGACACTCCACGAAAAAACTTCGCTTTTCGGAAATTTTCGAATTTCAGAATTTCGCATAAAGGGATGTGTACCTGTAGTAATTTATACAGGAGAAGGGGTTACTAACCCCTTGTTCCTGGCATATTAGACATGCATGGCTTACAGAAAAAGGATAGTTCTCCACTTCCCCAAGGAGTATTATATTATTATTCATTGGCAAGGGCTAAACATGTAAGGGTCATGTAGTGCATAGGGTATGACAGGCACTCTGGTTTGACAATAGGAATGGATGTAATACAGCTAAAATATGTACAGTGGTACCTTGACTTACGAGTGCCCCAACTTACGAGTTTTCTGAGTTACGAGCCGTCACTCGGTCAATTTTTTGCTTCGAGTTGCAAGCAAAATTCGAGCTACGAGTGAGCTTCAGATACACCGCCATTCACAGGAGATACTGAGGAAACATCAAAAACCTCGATAATAACCAGTGTATAACATCCTCTCAATTTTGATACCACTGGTGGTGTCATCCTGCCAGAATGTTCTATAATGTATGCCTTAAGTACGAAGAAAAACAATTCTGGAACATGTGTAATACATGTTCGGCAGGCCGGCTGGTTGGGTGGCCAGCTGGCTGGCTTATTTGCTTTGGCTGTCTTTTTCCCCTTCTGTCTGTCTCTGTCTGCCTCTGTCTATATCTGCCTCTGTCTATCTCTGTCTCTTTCACACAGGTACACATAAATACAGTTATGCAAAATGTAAATTACCTAGGATAACCAAAAAATCCAAACAAAGTGCTATACTATGCTTGTAGGTATAAGGCATAATAAGCATGACTAGCAAGTCATGCTTATTATGCCTTGTTCAGGAATTAGAAGTGTCGTCGACTCTGCATCTTGTGCAATGCCTGTTGGTTCATGAGCGGCTCTCTCTCTGAGACAGAGACAAGAGGACAGAAACACAGGCACACAGAAAGATAAGCAGAGACAGAGATAAACATAGGACAGAACTAGACAAATAGACAGAAACAAACAGATACAGACATGTTTATGTGTAACAGTGAAAAATAAAGCCAAGGCAGTGCACGATCATCAAATGTCACTCCACTGCTGCATTGTCAGCACTGGAGTGACACTCATTTTACACTCTGCTTCAAGGAGTTTCATATATACTCCAGCATTTCTAAAACATTGCTGGGACCTGGTGAAAAAGGCAAAAATAATTTCTAATTTATAAATGCATTTTTCTTATATAAAAACCCGCAACAAAAAAACTGTTTTTTTTTGGGGGGGGGGGCTGGAACGGATTAATCCCATTTCACTTAATGTCAGTGAGGAAAATTGATTTGATATATGAGCAAATTGAGTTACAAGCTCAGTCACAGAATGTATTAAACTCACAAGTCAAGGTACCACTGTATATGGCAATTCTGCTTCTTGTATATTTAAGATAAACACCTTATTTCATGCTAAATAACAGCCCACATAGAAACAACATTAGAAAATACATGAAAGGAAAGATAGACTTAGCAGAGAGATCACTGAATTAGAGCAAAAACTTAGGATGTCATACCTCACAGAAGAAGTACAAAGGGAATAAAAGGTCATACAGGATATTGCAAGAAACCCAAAATATTTCTATTCCTACGCAAAATTCAAGCTAAGAACTACCTGTAGAATTGGACCACTACTGAGAGGAGACTCATATACTGACGATGAAGAGGAAATGAGTGAAATCCTAAAAGAACAGTATGAGTCGGTGTTCAGCAACCCACTAACCCTTTCAGGGTTTCGGCGGTACTAGTATGGCTTACGAGCCAGGGTTTTTGATGTACATGTACTAGTACGCCTAAATTCTAGCGCCCTCAAATCTAATAACAGAAAGCTGGTAGGCCTACATATGACAGAATGGGTCTATGTGGTCAGTGTGCATGGTATAAAAAAAATCCTGCAGCACACAGTGTGTAATGAGAAAAAAAAAGTTGACCGTGTTTTTGGATTAAAACAGCGACTTTGCACTGCATTTTCGTATGGTATTTACTGTTGTATTCTAGTTTCCTGGTCTCATTTTATAGAATAGAAGACATATTACAGAAATAGAGATGATTTTGACTGGTTTTGCAAAGAAAAGTACCTTGAAATTGAGCTCAAAGTAGCAGAAATGTTCGATTTTTACCAAAGTTCAAAAGTAAATAAATCATGCTATGCGTCCAATACACGTCAACTGGTGGGTCTTATATTCTTTCACAAGTGCGCTGATATTATTTATACCATTTCTACACCAATGCAGTAGTCTGCATAACAGTAAATCTTCTATTTTTTGTGAGAATAAAAATTCAAAGTGGAAAGTAAAAGAATGTAAGAGGGGCATGGGGACGTGTCTAATAAACAGAGGAAATGTTATTTTAGTGCCAGGAATGTCTTTCTTGTTTATTCTGGACCCTATTCGGAAATTGGCATCTTTTGAAATTTGTGTGAAATTGGCAAAATTGCTAAATTCTGACCACTGTATTAGATAGTTGAAATCGGTAAATGGGTGGTTTCTTGTACTCATTCGATAGAAAAAATGGAGTTCTAGCGAAATAGTTATGATTTTTGTCGACAAGTACACTAAATTGGCCGAAAATAGGGCTCAAAGTGGGCAAAATCGCCGATGCGTAAACATCATCGAGACCGCTAACTTTGCGAGAGCATAATTCCATAAGTTTTCCATCAAATTTCATACTTTTGGTGTCATTATGACTGAAAAAAAGATTCTCTATCTTTTCATAAGAAAAAATAATTTTTTTTTTTTTTAAATTTGGCCGACCCTGAAAACAAGTCTCTGAGAGGGCCTGTCGACCCTGAAAGGGCTAAATGACAGCAAGGTAGAAAATGCAGAAATATTTTTCACTCCAGTAGAAGGCCGCACAGACCAACTAACTGACATTAGTACAAATCCCATAGTTTTCGAAAAAGAAATAGAAAACATGCCCACTCACTCAGCACCTGGACCAGATTCATGGAATGCTCTATTTATAAAGAAGTGCAAAGTACCACTAGCACGAGCCCTCAGTATTCTTTGGAGAAAGAGCTTAGATACAGGTGAAATACCGGAGGCCTTAAAGAGTGCAGACATAGCTCCTTTGCACAAGGGGGGTAGTAGAGCACTAGCTAAAAATTACAGACCAGTAGCCCTAACCTCTCACATCATAAAAATCTTTGAAAAATTGATGAGACGGCAGGTTACAAATTTCATGGACCAGCACAACCAACATAACCCAAACCAGCATGGTTTTAGAGCAGGACAATCATGTCTGTCACAGCTGCTGAACCATTATGACAGAATTACGGAGGCACTGGAACATGACCAAAACGCAGATGTGATTTACACAGATTTTGCAAAGGCATTTGACAAATGCGATAGCGCACAAAATGAAGGCCATGGGCATTACAGGGAAGGTAGGCAGATGGATTTTCGGTTTCCTAACACACAGAACACAAAAAGTAGTAGTGAACAGGACAAGATCCAGCATCAGCGAGGTCAAAAGCTCAGTGCCCCAAGGCACTGTCCTGGCACTTCTGCTGTTCCTCATCCTCATAGCAGACATAGTCAAAAACACCCGGCACACTTTTGTATCATCATTTGCAGATGACACTAAAATAAGCATGAAAGTCAGTATGGTAGAGGACACTGAAAAAGTACAGGAAGACATAAACAGGGTTTTCCAGTGGGCAGTGGAAAACAACATGACGTTCAATGGTGATAAGTTCCAGCTGCTTAGGTATGGAAAGAATGAAGAACTCAAAAGGAGCACTATATACAAAACTCAAGAGGGTCAACAAATAGAACATAAGGAACACGTAAAAGACCTAGGAATAATTATGTCAGCGGACCTTTCTTTTAAAGACCATAACAAGACAAAGATCACGACAGCCAGGAAGATGACTGGGTGGATATTGAGAACTTTCAAAACAAGAGAAACAATGCTGATGGTGACACTCTTCAAATCGCTAGTGCTTCCTCACTTAGAATATTGCTCAGTGCTGATGGCCCCCGTTCAGGGCAGGAGAAATATCGGAGCTGGAACAAATACAGAGATCATTTACGGCTCACATTGAGCTAGTAAAGCACCTAAACTACTGGGAATGCCTGCAAGTCTTGAACATGTACTCACTGGAGTGGAGGAGAGAGAGGTACATGATAATATATACAGTACCTGGAAGGTACTTGAGGGCTTGGTCCCAAATCTGCACACTGCCATAACAACATACTGGAGAGAGAGATATGGGAGGAAGTGTAAAATAAACCCAGTGAGGAGCAGGGGTGCGGTGGGGACAATAAGGGAACACGGTATCAACATCCGGGGTCCCAGACTTTTCAACATCTTACCAGAAGATATCAGAAACACTGCTGGAACAAGTGTTGAAGCCTTCAAGAGGAAACTAGACAAGTATCTTCACCAGGTGCCAGATCAACCAGGCTGTGATGGATATGTGGGGCAGCAGGCCTCCAGCAGCAACAGCCTGGTTGACCAGGCGAGCACTAGACGAGCCTGGCCCATGGCCGGGCTCAGAGAGTAGACATACTCTCAAAATTCTTCAAAGGTATATCAAAGGTATGAAATTAAGACACATGTGCAACATCTGGGTATCTTTACTGTAGACGTTTTGCCATACAGTGGCTTTATCAATACATATTCCAGGACATAACTTGACAGTAGAACTATATACAGAAGACAAGGTAATCAGTCCCTCAACCTTGGAGTTGATGCGAAGAGCACCATAGTCATGGAGATTCTGCAGCAGAAGCAAGGAACCTGAGGACATGTACATAACCTTCATGACTACGACAACTGCTACTACAACTAACCCATCTCTTTGGGTAGGACCTACTTCCACTGGGGAATCCTGCCTACCGGTGACTATGCCCTCGTCTGCTACACGTCCCCTTTCCACCTGACGTTAGTATAAAAATGCCAGGCTCCTTGCTTCTGCTTCAGAATCTCCACGACTACAGTGCTCTTCACACAAACTCCAAGGTTGAGGGACTGATTACCTCGTCTTCTGTATATAGTTCTACTGTCTTCAAGTTATGTCCTGGAATTTGTATTGATAAAGCCACTGGATGGTGAAACGTCTACGATAAAGATACCCAGATGTTTCACACATGTCTTAATTTCATTTTGTCAGTATTGTATACCATTCTTGTACAACTTGTTAGAAAATACAGTTGGTGTGTATATTTTAACCCTCACCTGGAGCCTCTTCATCCACTGAAAACAGCTCCAGTTGGGGGTAGAAATATACACACCAACTTTTTCAGTTTGTCTCCTTGTGAGTTTTTACTTAACAATGACAAGTGTTCAGTGTTCATTATTTTTATTTTTATTCCATAATGCTGATTCACTATATCCTATGATGACAGAGGTGCAGGTGCTCAACTACCGCTACATTGGAACTGTCCACATACCCCATGCCCGCTGTAAGGAGAAAAGGCCTTCCCTCGATTCCAACATTTCACACACCACTCAAGATCTGAACTCTGTCACGGTCTGTACTTTCCAACTAATGCAAAATTTCACCATATTTATCATGAAATTTTAATCATTAGTAATTTTCTGTTTGTAATTTATTATATTTATGGGGGAAGTGCTACACCTGTAGTGGTCATACCACACCTAGGGAATGGTAGATTTGATCAAGGTAAGGGGAGAGTAGCTCCAATTTCTTTGATCAAGATTCCTCACTATCATCATCAAGGCACTCCCATGCAGGGACCAACTTGTAAAAGTTTACCCAACTCAAGCATTTTTTGTGTACATAATTTGTAATGCATATTATGTGCAAAGTTAACGATTTCAATAAAAGTAATAAACAATTGACCAATATATGTCTTGGAAATAAAACCCAGACATTTTTTTTTCATCCTAAACCATTAAAAAGTGTACAGCAGACCTAAATGTCATCCAGTTTTCATATTCAGTTTTAAGTTATTTGTAGTGTTCCAGCCACAGTATTGTGACTTTTTATTCCAAATAAACAGTGATATTATTATTAATAGGTAGTGATAAAGGGGATAACATGCTGGAAATACAATGGTCCTTGGCTCAGATCTACTAACCTATTTATTACTTCCTAGAATAAGAGTGTAATAGAGTAAACTTTGTCTAGTAAATTTTCTAAATACATTTTGAGTGTGAGATTAAAGACGAAGCAAACATCAGGAGAATAATGTAGAAATCTAATCTTAACGTTCTTTACTAGGACTCTCGTCGGACATCAACAGAACTGAGAAAGACATATTCAGTCAGCCATCCTAGAGAAGTTCGTGATCATCGCGACATTCGAGAAAACAGAGACAGCAGGGAGAACAGAGAAAATAGGGAGAACAGAGAAAACAGGGAGAACATAGAAAATAGGGAGAACAGAGAGAACAGACCTCGCTCCAGCTCAGCAACTGACCTGGGCTTTAAAGTATTGTACCAGAAATATGATGATGAATTCCCAGTAAGTAATGGATTTGAGGGTGAACACCTGTACTTTTTTCAACATTTAAATGTAATCATTGCTTAGCATAAACATAACTAACATCCTGCTATATTAATTAGTGTACTAATTCTATTTAAGACACCAGTATGCTCTTCAACATATATGATTTGTTTTTTTTTACTATATTGCTATCTCCCACCAAAGTTTTGTTTATCACTTTTTTTTTATACACAAATCAATTTTGCAGGCTGAGGGCTGTTATCCTACCTCAGCTCATTTCAAAGTCCAGCCCTTTCTGAAGTATACTACCACCCCCCAGGATGCAATTTACAACAGTTGACTAACACCCAGGTACCTACTTACTGCTAGGTGAAGAGGGGCAGCAGGTGTAAGGAAATGCCCATCGTTTCCACCCAATTCAGGGATTGAACACTCAGTAGGTGAACTGAGTGCACTGCCAACCGAGTCACAGGACACCTGTGATGAGTAGCTATCATGGTATCATATGTGGTGTGTTTGGAGTGCCTCTTGAGAGTCTCATAGAGACATAAACCTGCTCCCAGACTCACTCTTGGATACAAGTAGGAGAGGGGGGATTATTTTCTAGTAAAGTTGGCTTTAGAAGGAATGTGTGATGTCACCATGGTTGTTTTAACATTTATAGATCGGGTTGTGAAAAATGTGAACATTCAGGTGTTGGAGAGAGGTGTAGTATTAAAAGATAACAAATGTGGTATAAAGTGGGAGCTGTCACAATTGCCTTTTTGCCCATGACATGAATCTTTTGGGAGATTCAAACCGGCCGTGGGATACGGCCGGTTTGTTTAAAAAAAAAAATATGTACACTTTTATTCACAAAAAATACTGGGAAAGTATGCAAAAGATGGAAATCAAAGGTAAACCTAGAAAAAAAGCAAGGTAATGAGAGTAACAAAAAATCTAGGCATTGAGAAATTGGGTATCAAATTGGAGGGAAGGAGTATGGAGGAAGTGTGTTTAGATATTTGTGAATGGAGTTGTTTGTAGATGGGTCTATGAAACATGACGTGAGCCATAAACTCATGATGGGAATAAAAAGGGTGGATGGTGCACTGAGGCACCTGTAGAGACGAAGAACCTTATCCATAAAGGCAAAGAAGGAGAACGTACTTGAGTATAGTGGTACAAACACTGTTATATGTGTGAAACTGGTTTTCAGTGTCACAGCAAAGAGGTTGAAGGCAGTGGAGATGATGTGTTTAAGGGCAGTGCGTGGTGTGAATATTATAAAGAATATTTTGAGCTTGGAGATTAGATGTGGGGTCACCAAAAGTATTACTCTAGAGGACTGAGGAAGGGTTGATGAGGTAGTTTGGGCATTTAGTGAGGATGGAGCAGAATGGGATGGCTAAAATTATATAAATCTAAGGTGGAAAGGAGGAGGGGTGAGGGTCATAGTAGGAAGGGTAGGAGAGGGGTGGGTAGAGATTTTGAGTGCTAGGGCTAAAATAATCAAGAGGCTTGTGCGAGTGCATTAGAGTGGAGGCAAGTGTTTTATATATAAGGCTTGAAGTGCTGTTGGAGTGTGAGCAAGGTAACATTTAAGAAGGTAAACTGGTTAGGCAGACTTGAGTCTTGGAAGTGAGAAATGCAGTGCCTGCACTCTAAAGGAGGGGCAAGGATATTATAGTTTGGAAGGTCATCTGAACTGTGATGTCAGCACACTTCTGATTGAATGGGTGATGATGAATGTGTTAATTCTCATATACAAGTCACCTTACCTAGGTGGGAAATGGCTGGTGTGTTAAAGTTGGTCAAAAAAATTTAATTCTTTCTCTCGTTCTTTCAATACACCGGCTGCATCCTGCCGAAGCAGGGTGACCTAAAAAGAAAAACATGTTTCTCTTTTTAACTTCAGTAATTTATACAGGAGATGTGGTTACTAGCACCTTCCTTCCAGCATTTTAGTTGCCTCTTATGACACGCATGGCGTACGGAGGAAGAATTCTGTTCCACTTCCCCTTGGAGAAAAACAAAAAACTAATTGTCTTGAATAAATTGATTTTTTGAAAAAATTACCTTGTGTATTGATTGACACAGTATATTCAGATGATTTACACTTCACTAAACCTAATTTAAAATGCTTACCTAATCTTGGAAATATTATGTAATACGTATAATAATCTTATCACACCTATCAGAAGTCAGCCTAAAATTAATTAATATCATTTAACATCAATCAAATATACTAAGTTTATGTAGTTCAGACTGAGATTAATGACAATAAATCCATACTGTACATACTTGGCACATTTGACTAAAGGATCTTTGCTTAATAAGCCAAGTCAGCAAGTATAACTTGAAAAGCATGAGGTATAGAAACGTCTTCAGTACTCATGTTAATTTATTGATAAAAACTAGAGTTTTCATAATAACTCCTAAAGTGAAGTAACACTAGGTTGGTACTTAAGGCATCTGACTCTATTATAATCGTAAGGACATAAATTATATTTTCTTTTAGGATCTACTGCTGGAGACCAGTCGATGTGGTCAGACCCGCATGGACTGGCTGGATGAACTGCCCTTCATAAACTGACTTCTTTAGCCCTTTTGGGAGCTTGATATTCTCTTCACAGAGCACAATATTCATCACCGGTGGAGAAAACTGAAAAAAAGGAAGCAAAGCAAAGAAGGTTAGAATTACAAACTTATTATCACTTTAGTTTTACTAATTCAGTGTAGAGCAAAATTTAAATTTAAAAAAATTATGGAGTGAATTAAAGGTTCTGCAGTATTTATTTATTTATTTATTTATTTATTTATTTATTTATAATTTGAGCACACTTACAGAGGTACAAAAAAAAAAATACAGATAAGAGCAGCATGCCAAAGCCACTTATACTATGCATAGCATTACGGGCTGGCTTAAAATTAACTTAAGATTAACTAAGCAATGATGAAATCAGTGAAAAACATTAATGTAAACTGATTACTATAAAGCACAAGTGAGTATTACAAAGACAGGTCATATGGTTGCATGCATTGTTGTAAATTCAGTAGAATGGAGTATTTGTTAGGTAGTGAATTTAAAAAAAATAAAAGTTAGATTGGGTTTTTAGGTTTAACATTTATGTGATATAATTGTGAGAAACATTTAAGATAACATTTTTAAGGGTTCAGTTATTCAGTATTTATTTGGTTTTGGGTGAGTAAGTGTTTTTTGAGAAGAGACTTGAATTTATAAACAGGTAGTGTTTCTTTTATATTAACAGGTAATGAATTCCAGATTTTAGGGCCTTTTATGTGCATTGAGTTTTTTGCATAGCGTGAGATGGACACGAGGAATATCAAAGAGTGATCTGTGCCTTGTGTTATGGTCATGTGTTCTGTGAGGTTGGCAAGGAGATGTTTGAGGGAGGGTTAATATCAGAGTTGAGTGTTCTATGTATGTAATAGGTGCAGTAATAAGTATGGATGTTTTGTATGGCGAGTAGGTTGAGTGTATTGAATATTGGTGGAGTGTGCTGCCTGTAGTGAGAATTGTTATCATTCTAACTGCAGCCTTTTGTTGGGTAATTAGTGGTCTGAGATGGTTACTTGTTGTTGAGCCCCATGCACAAATTCCATATAAAACTAATGTAGAAAAAAAAAGAAAAAAAAAAGATTTATAAATACGGTACTGCATATCGGAGTCAGTAAAGCCTCGGTTTAATGAACTTTGATTTAACAGATTTCAGAAATAAATGCCAAAATACACTGGATGAATTGATTTTGAAACAAAGTCCATTGGTTAAAGAATTGTCAGTCACAACAATTGCATCTATCCACTACAATTACCATCACCAGCCACCTGCTTTACTCTATTAGTTCATTAAACTAAAGGTTTATTGACATACGAGAAGAATGTCATCATTCAGTATCAGTACACAACAAATATCTGAAAAATGTTTAGCCTGGCTGTGCTGTCAGTAGGCCATGGCAGGCTGGTCTTGATTAAACATTAAGTAGAAATAAGCATTCCTTCTGAGATTCCACTTACCTTTGTAGTGTGTTGCCACTGCTGCAACATCTTGATTGAACTTTTCTCCATGCTCATCACTCTTGTCCCATTAGTTACCAGAATAAAAACAAGACTGAAGGAAATAGTTTGAGTGACATGTTGTAGCCAGGTTGTTGATAACTTTGCAATAGTTACTCTACCAGTGCCTTGTAGTTGACATCTCTGTGTCTGCTAAGAAACGTATTGCAAATGTATTTGAATGAATGCAAAGCTGTTGACACCCTGTCATTCACTAGCATCTGAAAATCATTGACAGCCAAAAGTTGGATCTGCAAATACACCTTCCATAATCTTAGTCTCATTTAATTTGGGTAACTTTCCTAACAGGTATTTGAATGCTGGATGAACCTTGCCCATTGCCTTGGTGGTAATAAAATCCTGTCATTTGAAACCAATGAAGCATTGACTTCATTAACTGTACCTGGAATGACTGAGTCACATGATGGCCAATGTTACATTTCCCCAAAATTGAAACCGATAAATTTGATACGTTGCTCTGATCTCAAAGGGTGGGGAATATTTTTTTTTTTTTTGCACAGCCAAAAATAAGCATTTTGAAATCATGTATGTAAATGGAGTGTTTCTTTTTTTTTTTTTTTTTTTTAACAAGTCGGCCATCTCCCAATGAGGCAGGGTGACCCAAAAAAGAAAGAAAATCCCCAAAAAGAAAATACTTTCATCATCATTCAACACTTTCACCTCACTCACACATAATCACTGTTTTTGCAGAGGTGCTCAGAACACAACAGTTTAGAAGCATATACAGTGGACCCCCGAGTTTCGTGATTAATCCGTTCCAGAGAGCCCGCCGAAGGTCGAAATTCACGAAACTCGAAACCATTTTCCCCATAAGAAATAATGGAAATAAAATTAATCCGTTCCAGGCACCCAAAAATATTAAAATAAAATATTTTTTTCAAATTAAATAAAGATTTACATAATGAAAACAATCAGAAATCAAGTACATGCATTTAAAATAAATAATAATAACATTACACTTACCTTTACTGAAGACTTCTGCATGGATGGAAGACGGGAGGAGGGGATAGGAAGAAGGTGTACACTATTTTTTGGAAGGAGAATCTCCTTCCACTAGGACTTCAGGTATAAAGTCCATATCTGGGGTTACTTCCCTTCTTTTAATGCCACTGGGACCAGCTTGAGAGTCACTGGACCCCTGTCGCACAAAATATTTGTCCAGAGAGGTCTGTTTCTGGCGTTTCTTTAAGATTTCCCTGAAGTGGGACACAACACTGTCATTGTACATGTTGCCAATACGGCCTGCAACAGCTTTGTTAGGGTGAAGTTCATCCATAAATGTTTGCACTCCAGTCCACAAATGTCCTTAATCTTTGAAGAAGGCACCTTCCTCTATCTTTCTTCCTCCTCCTCTGCAGCAGTTTCCTTAGATGTGATCTGTTGCTGTTGCAGATGAAGCTCTTGCAGCTCTTCAGTGGTTAGCTCTTCCCTGTGGTCCTCCACCAACTCTTCCACATCCTCACCACTCACCTCCAACCCCAGGGACATCCCCAATGCCACAATAGTTTCCACAACTGGCATAGGTTCCTTAGGGTCAGCCACAAACCCTTCAAAATCCCTCTCTTGTACACAATCTGGCCACAGATTTCTCCAAGCAGAGTTCAAGGTCCTGGAAGTCACTCCCTCCCAAGACTTACCTATAAGGTTTATGCAATGGAGGATATTAAAGTGATCTTTCCAGAACTCTCTTAGGGTCAATTCAGTGTCTAAGGTCACTTCAGAGCACTTCTGAAACACTTCTTTGGTGTAGAGTTTTTTGAAGTTTGAAATGACCTGCTGGTCATGGGCTGGAGGAGAGGAGTGGTATTAGGAGGCAAGAACTTCACCGTGATGAAACTAAACTCCTCCACTATTTGCTCTTCCAAGTCTGGAGGATGAGCAGGAGCATTGTCCATTACCAGGAGGCACTTGAGTGGCAGTTTATTTTCCAGGAGGTATTTCTTCACACTGGGGCCAAACACTTCATTAAACCAGTCTAGGAAAATTCCCCTTGTGACCCATGCCTTACTGTTAGCCTTTCACATCACACACAAGTTACTCTTGGCGACACTGTATTTCTTGAACACTCTGGGATTTTCAGAGTGATACACGAGTAAAGGCTTCACTTTAAAATTCCCACTAGCATTACTACAAAACATGAGAGTTAGCCTGTCTTTCATAGGCTTGTGTCCTGGGAGTGCCGCTTCCTCCTGCATGATGTAGGTCCTCTTTGGCATTTTCTTCCAGAAGAGGCCTGTTTCGTCACAATTAAACACTTGCTGTGTCTACGCACTCCTTAAACTCCTGTACAAACTTCTCAGCTGCTTTTTTGTCAGAACTGGCAGCCTCACCATGCCTTATCACACTGTGAATGCCACTACGCTTCTTAAATCTCTCAAACCAACCTTTGCTGGCCTTAAAATCACAAGCATCACCACTTGTTGCAGGCATGTTCTTTACAAGATCGTCATGCAACTGCCTTGCCTTTTCACATATTATCGACTGCGTAACACTACCTCCTGCTAACTGTTTCTCGGTAATCCACACCAACAGTAACCTCTCCACTTCTTCAAGGATTTGTGATCTCCTTTTTGTCAGCATATCCACCCCTTTTGTAACAACAGCACACTTTATTTCCTTTCCTTTCGCCACGATCGAAGTGATGGTTGAATGGGGCTTGCCATACATCCTGGCAAGCTCTGTAACACACACTCCACTCTCATATTTTTCAATGATTTCCTTCTTGAATTCAATCGTGTTCCTCACTTTCTTTACCAAAGGGCTTGCACTAGCTTTCCTTGGGCTCATGGTGACTTATTTAGCAGTTGTAATCACAAAAAAACAATGGATTATTACGTATGAGCCTGCGGGGTGATGGTCAAGTGTTGGTAAACAATGGCACACTGAGCGTGAATGGCGTGGGAGACTGGCTTTGTGTGCATGGTGACAGGCAGACGGGTACCGGACGGTAGCCAAAACATGAGTTTTTTCATAAAACTCGAGGCCAAATTTTTACAAAAAACTCGCCGAAGGTCGAATTTCACGAAAGTCGAGGCTGCCGAAACTCGAGGGTCCACTGTACCTATAAAGATACACAAACATATCCCTCCAAACTGCTAATATCCCAAACCCCTCCTTTAGAGTGCAGGCATTGTACTTCCCATTTCCAGGACTCAAGTCCGGCTTTATAAAAATAACCGGTTTCCCTGAATCCCTTCAATAAATATTACCCTGCTCACACTCCAACAGATCATCAGGTCCCAAATACCATTCATCTCCATCCACTCCTATCTAACACGCTCACGCACGCTTGCTGGAAGTCCAAGCCCCTTGCCCACAAAACCTCCTTTACCCCCTCCCTCCAACCTTTTCGAGGATGACCCCTACCCTGCCTTCCTTCCCCTACAGATTTATACACTCTCCATGTCATTCTACTTTGATCCTTTCTCTCTAAATGACTAAACCACCTCAACAACCCCTCTTCAGCCTTCTGACTAATTCTTTTATTAACTCCACACCTTCTCCTAATTTCCACAATCCGAATTTTCTGCATAATATTTACACCACACATTGCCCTTAGACAGGACATCTCCACTGCCTCCAACCGCCTCCTCGCTGCTGCATTCACAACCCAAGCTTCACACCCATATAAGAGTGTTGGTACTACTATACTTTCATACATTCCCTTCTTTGCCTCCATAGATAACATTTTTTGTCTCCACATATACTTCGATGCACAACTCACCTTTTTTTCCCTCATCAATTCTATGATTAACCTCATCCTTCATAAATCCATCCGCCAACACGTCATCTCCCAAGTACGTATCTGAAAACATTCACTTCTTCCATACTCCTCCTCCCCAATTTGATATCCAATTTTTCTTTATCTAAATCATTTGATACCCTCATCACCTTACTCTTTCTATGTTCACTTTCAACTTTCTACCTTTACACACACTCCCAAACTCATCCACTAACCTTTGCAATTTTTCTTTAGAATCTCCCATGAGCACAGCATCATCAGCAAAAAGTAATTGTGTCAATTCCCATTTTGTATTTGATTTCCCATAATTTAATCCCACCCCTCTCCCGAACACCCTAGCATTTACTTCTTTTACAACCCCATCTATAAATATATTAAACAACCATGGTGACATTACACATCCCTGTCTAAGACCTACTTTTACCGGGAAGTAGTCTCCCTCTCTTCTACACACCCTAACCTGAGCCTCACTATCCTCATAAAAACTCTTTACAGCATTTAATAACTTACCACCTATTCCATATACTTGCAACATCTGCCACATTGCTCCCCTATCCACTCTATCATATGCCTTTTCTAAATCCATAAATGCAATAAAAACTTCCCTACCTTTATCTAAATACTGTTCACATATATGCCTCAATGATCTACTTGATCTACACATCCCCTACCCACTCTGAAACCTCCTTGCTCATCCGCAATCCTACATTCTGTCTTGCCTCTAATTCTTTCAATTATAACCCTACCGTACACTTTTCCTGGTATACTCAGTAAACTTATTCCTCTATAATTTTTACTATCTCTTTTGTCCCCCTGCCCTTTATATAAAGGGACTATACATGCTCTCTGCCAATCCCTACGTACCTTCCCCTCTTTCATACATTTATTAAACAAAAATACCAACCACTCCAACACTATATATCCCCCTTGCTTTTAACATTTCTGTCATGATCCCGTCAGTTCCAGCTGCTTTACCCCCTTTCATTCTACGTAATGCCTCACGCACCTTCCCCACACTCACATCCTGCTCTTCTTCACTCCTAGAAGATGGTATACCTCCCTGGGCAGTGCATAAAATTACCACATCCCTTTCTTCGTCGACATTTAAAAATTCCTCAAAATATTCTCGCCATCTACCCAAAACCTCCATCTCCCCATCTGCTAACTCCCCTACTCTGTTTTTAACTGACAAATCCATTCGTTCTCTAGGCTTTCTTAACTTGTTTAACTCACTCCAAATTTTTTTCTTATTTTCATTAAAATTTCTTGACAGTGCCTCTCCCACTCGATCATCTGCTCTCCTTTTGCACTCTCTCAGCACTCTCTTCACCTTTCTTTTACTCTCCATATACTCTACTCTTCTTATAACACTTCTGCTTTGTAAAAACCTCTCATAAGCTAACTTTTTGTCTTTTATCACACCCTTTACTTCATCATTCCACCAATCACTCCTCTTTCCTCCTGCCCCCACCCTCCTATAACCACAAACTTCTGCCCCACATTCTAATACTGCATTTTTAAAACTATTCCAACCCTCTTCAACCCCCCCACTACTCATACTTGCACCAACCCACCTTTCTGCCAATAGTTGCTTATATCTCACCCGAACTTCCTCCTCCCTTAGTTTATACACTTTCACCTCCCTCTTGCTTGTTGTTGCCATTTTCCTCTTTTCCCATCTACCTCTTACTCTAACTGTAGCTGCAACTAAATAATGATCCGATATGTCAGTTGCCCCTCTATAAACGTGTACATCCTAGAGCCTACCCATCAACCTTTTATCCACCAATACATAATCTAACAAACTACTTTCATTACGTGCTATATCATACTTTGTATATTTATTTATTCTCTTCTTCATAAAATATGTATTACTTATTACCAAACCTCTTTCTACACATAACTCAATTAAAGGCTCCCCATTTTCATTTACCCCTGGCACCCCAAATTTACCTACTACTTCCTCCACAACATTTTTGCCCACTTTAGCATTGAAATCCCCGACCACCATTACTCTCACACTTGGTTCAAAACTCCCCACGCATTCACTCAACATTTCCCAAAATCTCTCTCTCTCCTCTACACTTCTCTCTTCTCCAGGTGCATATACGCTTACTATAACCCACTTTTCACATCCAACGTTTATTTTACTCCACAATATCCTTGAATTAATACATTTATAGTCCCTCTTTTCCTGCCATAACTTATCCTTCAACATTATTGCTACTCCTTCTTTAGCTCTAACTCTATTTGAAACCCCTGACCTAATCCCATTTATTCCTCTCCACTGAAACTCTCCCACCCCCTTCAGCTTTGTTTCACTTAAAGCTAGGACATCCAGCATCTTCTCATTCATAACATCCACAATCATCTCTTTCTTATCATTTGCACAACATCCACGCACATTCAGACTTCCCACTTTGACAGTTTTCTTCTTATTATTCTTTTTAGTAATTATTACAGGAAAAGGGGTTACTAGCCCATTGTTCCTGGCATTTTAGTTGACTTTTACAACACGCGTGGCTTACGGAGGAAAGATTCTTATTCCACTTCCCCATGGATATAAAAGGAAAAGTAATAAGAGTGGTATATGTATTATATTTACTCTCAAAATATAAAGAAAAAACTGTAATAAACAAAAACTGATATCTGTTTCATACTGTAAACCCCAGAAAAGCATAATTGTTAGTTTACATACTGTTCTTTGTTGTACAGTGTTATCCAGGTTAGTCTTCTAATAAATGGTATAATGCTATGGTTTTGTGTTAAGGTTATATCATGCCAGGTTATGGAAGACAGTGATAGTGTGAATGATGGTAAAAGTGTTTCTTTTTTGGGTCACCCTACCTCTGTGAGAGATGGCCAGCATATTAAAAAAAAAAAAAAATGTTAAATTATGACATGAATTACTGTATGTATAACTTAAGCTGTAATATAATTAAATAATTATAATATGTACTTTTTTTAGGTAGTAGGTTGGTAAACAGCAACTGCCCAGGGAGGTACTACCATCCTGCCAAGTGAGTGTAAAACAAAAGCCTGTAATTGTTTTACATGATGGTAGGATTGCTGGTGTCCCTTTTTCTGTATCATAAACATGCAAGATTTCAAGTACATCTTGCTACTTCTACTTACACTTAGGTCACACTACACATACATGTACAAGCGTATACAGTATATACATACCCCTCTGGGTTTTCTTCTGTTTTCTTTCTAGTTCTTGTTCTTGTTTATTTCCTATCCCCATGGGGAAGTGGAACAGAATTCTTCCTCCGTAAGCCATGCGTGTCGTAAGAGGTGACTAAAATGCCAGGAGCAAGAGGCTAGTAACCCCTTCTCCTGTATAAATTACTAAATTTAAAAAGAGAAACTTACGTTTTTCTTTTTGGGTCACCCTGCCTCGGTGGGATACGGCCAGTTTGTTGAAAAAAATAAAATATGTACTTTTATTCACAGAAAATACTGGACTTTAATAATGTTTAAAAAAATGAGGTACACTAAATTTGGCCCATTTTGACAGAGAGCGGTGTGTTTGGGGTGCCTCTTGAGAGCCTCATAGAGAGAGACAGAAATCTGCTCCCAGACTCACTCTTGGAGACAAGTGTCCCACTTGTGTTCTATAAGGTGAGCTGTTGTCTGCTGTAACTGTCTGTAATGGAAGTTAAATATTGAAACTTTTTTAATTATAATGTGTAGTCAATACCAAATTTGTATCTGGTATGGTTATTGGTTATAAATGCACAAATTTTAATAATTAGTTTCTATGTATAGACAAATTAAAAAATGCTGAGCTGCATTAAATCAATGGCATAGAAAATATTCTCAAAGCTAAAATCTGTAAGATTTTACTGTAAGATTGTACTGTCCAGACTGCCATGATGTGACTTGCATCATGTTTGTGCATCTTTCAGTTGGTGTGGCAGCTGGAACGTCATGGTCTCCAGCAGGAAGGCATCTTGCGGGTTCCTGGCCACAGGTATAAACTTTTGTGCACCTCTGCAAATTGAGGCTTCTTATTTTGGTAGAAAAAAACTGTTTAGACAGAGTAGTATATGAAGTTTAACCTGAAAGCTAACCCTTGTTCAGGACCACATGGTACCTTGTTCAGGACCACATGGTCCCTTGTTCAGGACTAAATGGTACTTTGTTTACACCACTTCTCTTCTTGTGTTAGTTATTCAGATTTGTAAACTAATGAACCCTGTACATTTAAAAATATTTAATTTCATGTAAGAGTATTTTTACCTTCATTGTATAAATGATCTGTATGCAGTCTTATTTTTGTTTTCTGACATTTATTACATATCTGGCAATGTTATGTCTGGCATTGTTTTCAAGGACCCTAGTGGAAATAAGTCACTTTGTCTAACTTTTTTGGGTTATCCTATGTAATTTTAAACTAAGTATGATAATTGTACTTATGTTTACCTATAACTAAATAAACTTACTATTCCTGCTTAATTAAAGATGCCTCTTATGTGCAGATCCCAGACGGAGCAGCTGCGGCAGACTCTTAACACCAATTTCTATTCCTGGCCATCACATGTTGATGCTGCTCTCAGGAATGCCACACCCAATGATGTTGCTGCACTAGTTAAAACCTTCTTGAGGGAACTACCTCGTCCCCTTCTAACACACACTTATATGCCAGCTTTCTACAAGACACACCGTAAGTCCTTAATAATGTTGCTGTGGTTTGTATAAGTGTGTGATCATGGATATGGTTTTACCTTTGAAGATTGCCATTGGAGGTTATGTATCAGGTTTTTCTTCTCATTTTACTCTTTTTCTTTCATAGATATTAATTTTCAATAAAATTTTAAATCTGGGGTGAAGGAAGATTGGTGGTGAGAGAATATAAAGGAGGTTTTGAGTGCTAGGGGCTTGAACATCCAATAGTTTGCATGAGGATGTTAGATGGAGTGGACACAAGTGGGTGATATGGCTTGATGTGCTGTTCGAGTGTGAACATGATAACGTGTATGGATTCAGAGAAACCAGTTAGCTGGAACTGAGTTCTGGGGATGGGTAGCCTACACTAGAAAGGCGAGGATGTTGCAGTTTGGAGTCATCTGGATTGTGATTTTAGCACACTTCTGGTAAGATGGCAATTGAATGAATGATGGTGAGTATATGAGCATTTTTTTTGTGTGTGTAGGGGGGGGGGGGAATTAATCTGCCAGGGTGGAAGACACCCGGTGTGTTAAAAGACTCAACACATTTCATAATGTGTAATGCATGCTCTCTTTTCAATATATTGCTGTGGAAAATACTGTATATATTTTCCAGAAATACAGTAGTTATATGTAAATAGATGGCCATACTGTATTTAATAAAAAATTGTTATAAAAAATGGGAAGAAGCTGCACCTGTGCAGAAGAGACTAGCCATTGTTGTTTGAATTGGACACAAACGTTATGAATAAGGAGAAGAATTTTCGTGCTCTAGAGGTAAAATTGGGCTGACACCTCTCAAATAGGAGCCGAAATTGTTGGATATGCATTCCTGCATAACTTGAGATATCAGGTGACTGGACAAGACAGCTACAGGAACCTCAGATAAGTTTGTTTATGTTTGTAACCCTGGCCAGTTTTATTTTCATGGATAGACAGTGAGGTTTTCTGAGTATGATACACCTTAATCTCCAGTCAAATTGGTGAGTGATATTAAGATATATGTATTCTCCTTCTGTTATGTAAATTGTATATATATAATCCTTTATTAATTTAATATACAGTCCACAGATTTATATATTTACCAGAATTCCTGGTGTATGTACATTTCATTTGTAATTAATAGGTCTAGAGCAACTTGTGGATATGACAGTGGTAGGTATCGAAGGGGGACATTTTTTGTGACCTAGGTGTCCCAAATTCCTACTTGTCATGTAACTCTGATAAATAATAATTATCTTTGTTATCATTTACTGTTATGTACATAATGAGTTACATTCAGATAAATGTAAATTTTCCACAATTGCCAACTAAAATTTCAGATTACGGAATCACGACCATGAGAATGTGACAAAGGAATTGTTTGGGCCACAACCCCTTAAGTGCCTTAGTAACCCATTATGTGCCTTGGTAATCTCTTGACAACTGCTCACACACCATGATCATGGGCTGTGTTATAAGTGTTACAGGCACCCACTTTTTTTTTTTTTAACAAACTGGCCGTATTCCACCGAGGCAGGGTGGCCCAAAAAGAAAAACGAAAGTTTCTCTTTTTAAATTTAGTAATTTATACATCTATGGAGGTGTCCTTGATCTGTGTCTTGGCTTCAACATTACTTCTGCCAGCTGTGAGTCTTCCATTGTAACAGATATAGCGTCTGATCATTTCCCAAGGCTAACCTCTCTAGATATTGGTAATACTTTCTCCCTGGTGGGATATTCAAAGGGAAAGTTTTAAATTTTTTTCCCCCCTGTTTCAACTTGATGACTTTGTTGACATGGACTGGACTGGTAAAATTTCCCTTTATGAGTGTACCTCTGTCGAGATTTTAACAATGACCTTGTAAAGCATTTTATTAAAGAATTTCTTGAGCCGCCTCTGAAACCCCCTACTATTTAAAAACCCAAATGACTTCCTTTAATAATCATAAGTCTTATAAAAAAATCATACCTATTAAAATTTTTTTTCAAAACTTCAAACATTGAAACGTATCCCTGGGGACTAGGCCTACCCTTTTGGGAAACCATCGTACCCCGGGAAATGCTGAGCCTTTTTCCAAACTGCCCTTGCTGCTCCCAAAGAGAGCTTTAGAAAGGCGGGCGGAAAAACGGGACGGGGGAACAATTTGTCTTTTGGGCCTCAATGCTCACACCCCACTTAGGGGTTGGGGGGAAACAAAAAAATAAAATTTAAGGGGTTTAACAGAACGGGGCAGGATCGCGCCCCTCATCCCTTACATAGGGCGAATGATTTAGTCAGTGCTTGGGTTGCTAAAATCTAGCTATGACAGTTTTCCCCTCCAACGGGCAAAATTAAATGGACAAATATGATGAAAGGGAGAGATTTGTTTTGTTTATGTCAGCAAGGCAGATGACGCAACTTTTCCTTTCACAAATTTAAAGAACTTAAATGAAAGCATTTAAAACAAAGGGAAAACCCCACGTCCCCTGGTGAGGGGGTTTTTACTTAAAACTCCCAGATTGCTGGGGTCGAGTCCCGGTTTTTCCTTTACTTAAATTATAAAAAATGGTTATGTCCTGGGGAGCCCCCTAAATCTTGGCCAATAGTCTTTATTCCCATTCCAAACCCCCAATCAAAAAAAAACTCATTTTGCCCAATACCCCTTTTACTAGTGCTTGTTTTAAAAACATTTAAAGGGGTTTGTTTTCTTAATCGTCTTATGAACAAAATTAAGGAATTTTTGGGTCCCCCCGGGTTTGCATGGCTTCATGCATGGAAGGGTGTGCACATTGCATTACCCCCCTTTTCTCACTCTGCACAGGGACAGCTCATCACTACTTTCCCTTGACCTTAAATCCGCTTTTAAAGTAGCCAACAGACATGAAACTTTAGTGAATTTGGGACAAAAATGGATGTTGGAGGAGGGGCTTCTCCGCTGGAAAAAAAGGGTTACCTGTCCAACAAAAAATTCGTCTGTTTTGTTCCAGGGACATAGAAGTGTAATTTAAAGATTTTGAATTGGGAACCCACAGGGAGGTGTGCTTAGTCCCCCCCTTTAACATTTTGATTAATGCCTTATTTAAATGCCATGCCTACCCAAAGCCCCATCATTTTTATGGTTAGTTTTGTTTAATGACATAATGATTCACACTCCCGGATTCCCCAAAACACCCAAAACATTTTTAAATCTTTTTCTACCCTCGGTCAGGACCGGGGGTTTAAATTTAATCTCGGGGGATAAACAAAGATACTAAACGGGGTTCCTCCTGGGCCCAGAGAGGCACATTTCTTTAAAGATCCAGTTGCATGAGGGGGTTCTTCTGAATATGTAAGCAGAAAAAGGTACTAGGCTTTGGGGTTCCATTACTTGGACCTGTTGTAAGGGAGATTTGGGCCCCAATTTAAAAAAGAAGGCTGAGAGCATTTTGATTTTGGGGCGGGTTTTTCCCCCCCCCCCCTGGTTGGTGCTAATGTTAAAATTGTGAAAATGAGGGTACCCTTCCCTTATATTAGTTCTTTGGTTGTTTAAAGCAGCCCCCACTACTTGCACTCGTGTCTGATGGAAGCTGGGAGGGCGGGAAAAAACTCAAAAAGGGGCAATGAGGATCACCCAAAGGATCCCCTTGTAGGGCCAAAAATTTTTAAAAGATGGGGAAGAACTTAATTTTCCCAAGCATTAGAGATCGTTTTAAACTGAAAGAAATACCCCTTTTTGGGGTCAATATGTTAGGCTACCCCAAATTAAAAACCCCTGCACAGAAGCCCTCCAAACTTTCCCTCAGCACTGGTAAACACCCTTTCCCAGGGGGTTCAAAAAAAACTGGAAGCCTCCCCCATAAACCCAGCTACATTTTTATATCAAGTTGGCCCCAAACGAGACTTTTCCCTGTCCATGGGATTTACCCCATTCCAAACTACCATTCCTCCCTTTCCCCCCCAAAAATCTTCTTTAAAACACAACCCAAAACTTTTTCTTGAAGCCAAACATGATGCCCTTTAAACTGTATTGATAACTTGTCACACAGAACAATCTTTTACAAATTATTTCCCCGATGGTTCTGTTCACCAAATCCCCCTGGTGCAGCTGGTAGTGTGTGTTGTCACACAGTTGATGGCCTCTAAAGAAAATTTGGGAGCATCAAAAAATGGGCCTCTTTCCCTTAAACAGAAAAATGTTGCCATATCCTTTCACTCAAAGTGTCCCTGTATTTTAAGGTTGACACTTTAATTGTTAAAAATTCTCTGTATCCATAAAAAGCTCTCAACCCCATTAAGTATAAATTTTTGGCATGCTTTTTTTCCCGAAGCCCGACTTTGTTTTTGGTAAAATTTGGGACAGTGGAGTCAGAGTGCACATGGGTGTGGATTCCCTCTCACATTGGTCTTTAGATGCATGATAGAAATGATTTAAATTTGGGTAAACTGTTTTCTTTCAAAGAGGGGGTAGATTACAATCCCCCTTGGGGGTTTTCTTTTGCGTTTGAGAAAAAATAATACGAAAAAAAAACTTCAAATGAACTTTATTGACTTAAGACCTTTGGGGGGGATTGACACAAGTCAGTCCCCAAGCAGGAGGAGCCCTGTCTATGGTGCATCCCAAAAAGATAAGCAGACTCTTGGATGTCACTACTGCCCCGGGTCCCGGGTGGGGTTTTAAGTATCTTTGGGAGGGTTTTAAATTTACCCCCCACCGATGTAGGGCCAAAAAAGAAAAAAGTAAACTTTGCCAGATGGGTATTGTCACACATTGCGGGCATTATTACTGGAGTGTGATTTAAAATTTAAAGAAATTTTGAAACAATCATCAGAAATGTTTAAGAAATGGCCCAAAATATTTTATCCACAGTTTGGGTTTTTTGCAGCCATTTGGAGAAAAACCCTGATTTGCTAGCTGTAAAAAAAGCTTACCACATGTGTGCATGTGTGTGTGTGTGTGGGTGTTTTGTGTTGTGTGTGTGTGTGTTTTGTGTTTTGTGTGTGTGTGGGTTGTGGGGTGTGTGTCGTTTTGTGGGTGTGTGTGTTTTCGTGTGTGGGGTGCGTGTGGGTGTGTGTGAGGGTGTGTGTGTGGGTGTGTGTGAGGGTGTGTGTGTGTGGGTTTTTGGTGTGTGGTGTGCGTCCCTTTTGTGGGATGAATTTTTGTAACGGGCATGTGCACTGGCCCCCCCCCCCCCCCCCTGCGTGCGGCCCCCGGGGCGTTGTGCGCGCGCGCTTGTGTGGGGTAGGGCCCACTTAATATTTGTATTTATAACTCATTACAAGTGTGACCAGGTGTGGGGGGGATCCCGTGGTTCATTACTTTGTAATTTGTTCCCTACGGGAACCCTGTTTTTAGGGGTGAAACTGATTTATTTTCCCCCTGTAAAAATTGCCCCTGATTGTGGGCCAGATTTTCCGGAGTTCATTACCCTTTTTAACTAGTTCAGCTATCAAACTTTGGGGTCCCCGTCACTGGACCCATTATGTACCTTTTTTAATCTTTTGACTACCCCAAAAAGGAGGGTAGGGGGGCATAAAGATTAAACTAAGTGTGTGGTGTATGTGTGTATGTGTGTGTGTGTGTGTGTGTGTGTGTGTGTGTGTGTGTGTGTGTGTGTGGTGTGTGTGTGTGGTGTTTTTGGGTGACTCAACAATCAATATTTGGCCCCCAATAATCAATTTCAGTTTTGGGGCCCGGGGGTGGGAAAATGTGAATTTTCATTACACTATAATTTGTTCATTTATTGTAGGTGTATAAAAATAAAGTTAAACCCTTCTCCGAATTTATTACCTTTTTTAAATTGTAGCTCAATACCTTTGTACCTAGTTTTAGCTATCAAAACTTTTGGGGGCCCCCTCCCTGGACCCATTACGTTCTCTGTAACTGTAAAAACCTTTGTAATTGTCATGATTGTGGGGCCCGATTACCTGGGGTTCATTACCTTTTTTAAATTTTGGGGTTCTTTCCTTTTTTAAATTGTGAGTTTATTAGCTTTGTAAAATTTTGAGTTCATTACCTCTGTAACTTGCTCAGCTATCAAAACTTTGGAGTCCAGTCCCTGGACCAATTATGTACCTCTGTAATCTTTTGACTACCGCCCACAGGATGGGTATGGGGTGCTTAATAAACATATTAAACTAACTAAACTACAGGAGAAGGGGTTACTAGTCCCTTGCTCCTGGCATTTTAGTTGCTTGTTACAACACACATGGCTTGTGGAGGAAGAATTCTGTTCGACTTCCCCATGGAAATAAGAGGAAATAAACAAGAACACGAACTAGAAAGAAAATAGAAGAAAACCCAGAGGGGTGTGTATATATATGCTTGTACATGTATGTGTAGTGTGACCTAAGTGTAAGTAGAAGTAGCAAGACATACCTGAAATCTTGCATGTTTATGAGACAAAAAAGACACCAGCAATCCTACCATCATGTAAAACAATTACAGGTTTCCATTTTACACTCGGCAGGATGGTAGTACCTCCCTGGGTGGTTGCTGTCTACCAACCTACTACCTACAAGGCACCCACCTACTGTATTAATTATTTGATTACTGAAAATTTTCTTCTTCTTTGGGTTAATCTGTGTTAGTGGGAAATAGACTAAAAATAACATTAGTTTGGAAGACAATTTAAATTAATTATTCAAAGACAAACAAAAATAAATGAGATAAAATGAATTTTTGTATCTTTCAGCTTTGTTACTAAGTCTTTATCACTTCTATTTTTCATATGGGTTTGTTTTATTATGTTCAAATTGAAATATTTATTAGTCATACATTTCACACTAATCATATCATTATTATTATTATTATTATTATTATATTCCTGGGAAGCACTAAACCTATAGGTAATCAGGTCTGATCCAAGGAAGGTGAAAGGTAGCTCCAATTCCATGGATCAGAAGTCCTTCACTGGTATCAAGGTACCTGCTTGAAGGATAATGATAAGCACAGATTCCACTAGGCCCATGTAGACATCAGTACAGTCTCTTTTCATATATTAGGGATCGAAGACATGGGTGAACGGGTACTGGCACTCACCATGTTGATCCTACTGCTGCCATCACCACACCGCGACACTCTCCATGCCCTCCTGGAGCTGTGTGCTAGAGTTGTTACCCATGAAGCAGAAAACAAAATGTCACTCTATAATGTGGCTATGATCATGGCCCCTAACCTCTTCCTGCCTAATCACCAGCGCTCCAAACTTAACCTAAGGTCTGAGGACAAGGAACAGCAGCTTCATCATGAGGTGAGTGGTCATAGCTAGCAAGCTTTATTTTCTCCATTAACCCTTTTAGGGTCCGTCCCGTAGTTCTATGGCTTTGAGGCCTGGGTCCAAGCCGTAGAACTACGGCTTGAGCTCGGCTCACTCAGATAAGCTGTAAGTGGTAAATTTGGACCTAGATATGAGAGAATACATCTATATGGTAAGTGTGCACCACATAAAACAAATACTGCAGCACACAGTGCATAATGAGAAAAAAAAACTGCGACCGTATTTTTGGATTAAAACAGCCACTTTGCGGTGTATTTTTGTATGTTTTTTACAGTTTTATTTGCAATTTCTTGGTCTCATTTGATAGAATGGAAGATATATTATAGAAATAGAGATGACTTTGATTGGTCTTATTACTGAAAATGGCTTGAAACTGAGCTCAAAGTAGTGGAAATGTTCAATTTTTGCCAATGTTCAAGAGTAAACAAATGATGTCATGTGTCTAATACACATCAGCTGGTGGGTCTGATATACATTCACAAATGTTCTGATATTATTTATACAATTATTACAATATTGCATAACAGTAAATCTTCTGTTTTTTAGTGCAAATAAAAAATTCAAAATGGAATTCATTTGTAAAGCCTGAAAACATAACTAATAAACAGAGGCAATGTTAGTTTAGTGCCAGAAATGCCTGCATTGTTTATTCTGGGCTCTATTTTCAAATTGGAATATTTTGAACTTTGTGTTAAATTGGCCAGATTACCAATTTCCAATCATGTTGTTGGGTAGTTGAAACAGTTGACAGGGCGATTTCTTGTGCTCAGTCGCTAAAATAGAAGTAATACTAGTGAAATAGCTAAGAATTTGGTTGACTAGAATAATGTAATTGGCCTAAAATGGGAGTCAAAGTTGGCAAAATTGCCGATGTGTAAATATCGCTGATGCAGCAAAATTTGCAGGAGCGTAATTTCATCAGTTTTCCATTAAATTTCGTACTTTTTGTTTTATTACCTTCAGAAGAAGATTACCATTTCATAAAAAAAAAAAAAATTATTTTTTTTAAATTCTTGAACCCTGGCTGTCACTCTGAGATGTCACTCAGAGTGACAGCCAGGGTTCAAGAATTAAAAAAAAATTTTTTTTTTTTTTTAATGAAATGGTAATCTTCTTCTGAAGGTAATAAAACAAAAAGTACGAAATTTAATGGACCCTCAAAGAACTAGCATCATAATCATTAGTAAATATTTAACTGCTCTGAGTCATGCACCACCTGAAGAATGGGAGATATGTTTGATCCATGTGGAGAGTAGCTCCAATTCCTGGGCTCAAAAGCCTTTCCTTTGCATCAAGGCATCGTCTGATACTGTACTCATAATTTGTTTTTTGTTTCAACATTTGTTGCCCTTTCAGGGAAAATAAATTTTCATTTTTTTTCTGTAAATATGTAAATTCTAGTTAGGAAATCATAGAATGCATTAAAGGAAGGTTATTCCTTGAGTAGGGCAGTCAGGGTAACGACTGAATTTTGTAACTTTTGATACTTGTAAACAGGCTATATTAGAGCATTAAATGTAAATACAGCCTCTCTTCACTTAATATATCACTCTTTAATATATATCTACCTCACCTATGGTATTTGTGCCTGGGGATCAACCACAGCCAACCACCTTAAACCTAACAGAAAGCTGCTGTGCAGATGATTACCAGCTCTTGTGCCAGACAGCACACCATACCACTCTTCAAAAGATTGAACTTACTAAATATACGAGACATACACTCATTTTATCGTGCTTACTACACAGTATAAAAACATTAAACTCCAATATAAGCTCTCCACTTAAACTTCTCCTAGATAGTTACAACAGAACGCACAGTCACAATACAAGGCATAAGGCACTCTTTGACATCCCTCGTGTCAGTCTCTCACTATGCAAAAATGCAATGCACATAAAGGGCCCAAAGATCTGGGATTCACTACCTGAACTGGTAAAGGATTCCCTGACTACTTATAAATTTAGGACTTTGTTTAAAAATCGTCTCCTCTCAATATTAACCAAACCAAACTTCTAATCAGTTATAATATTATATTATATGACCTCTAATCCATTAAACATTTGCCAATCCATGAAATATTACTGTTTGAACCATTATTTGAAATACTGTTTTTATGTGCAACTTCAAGATTATTATTCTTATAAATCTCCACCTTGACTACCTCACATTAGTATTAAGGTTAAATAAAGATTTTAATACAGTGAAACCCTGGGTTTTGGCCATAATCTGTTCCAGGAGCTAGGTCTAAATGAGAAACGGCCGAAAGGCGAAGCAATATTTCCCACAAGAAATAATGTAAATAAAATTAATCTGTACTGGATCCACAAAAATATTCACAAAAAATACATTTTTTAAATAATAACTATAGTTTTACATACACACAACACAGATAAATGTATATACATTTTTTTTTTTTTTTTCAACAAGTCGGCCGTCTCCCACCGAGGCAGGGTGACCCAAAAAAGAAAGAAAATCCCCAAAAAGAAAATACTTTCATCATCATTCAACACTTTCACCACACTCGCACATTATCACTGTTTTTGCAGAGGTGCTCAGAATACAACAGTCTAGAAGCATACACATATAAAGATACACAACATATCCCTCCAAACTGCCAATATCCCAAACCCCTCCTTTAAAGTGCAGGCATTGTACTTCCCATTTCCAGGACTCAAGTCCGACTATATGAAAATAACCGGTTTCCCTAAATCCCCTTTACTAAATATTACCTGCTCACACTCCAACAGATCGTCAGGTCCCAAGTTTCCATTCGTCTCCATTCACTCCAATCTAACACGCTCACGCACGCTTGCTGGAAGTCCAAGCCCCTTGCCACAAAACCTCCTTTACCCCTCTCTCCAACCCTTTCGAGGACGACCCCTACCCCGCCTTCCTTCCCCTATAGATTTATATGCTTTCCATGTCATTCTACTTTGATCCATTCTCTCTAAATGACCAAACCACCTCAACAACCCCTCTTCTGCCCTCTGACTAATACTTTTATTAACTCCACACCTTCTCCTAATTTCCACACTCCGAATTTTCTGCATAATATTTACATCACACATTGCCCTTAAAACGGACATCTCCACTGCCTCCAACCGTCTCTCGCTGCTGCATTTACCACCCAAGCTTCACACCCATATAAGAGTGTTGGTACTACTATACTTTCATACTTTCCCCCTTCTTTGCCTCCATAGATAACGTTTTTTGACTCCACATATGCCTCAATGCACCACTCACCTTTTTTCCCTCATCAATTCTATGATTAACCTCATCCTTCATAATCCATCCGCCGACACGTCAACTCCCAAGTATCTGAAAACATTCACTTCTTCCATACTCCTCCTCCCCAATTTGATATTCAATTTTTCTTTATCTAAATCATTTGATACCCTCATCACCTTACTCTTTTCTATGTTCACTTTCAACTTTCTACCTTTACACAGTCTCCCAAACTCATCCACTAACCTTTGCAATTTTTCTTTAGAATCTCCCATATACATATATAGATAAATTAAAATTTAAATAAACATTTAAAATAACATTTACTTACCTTTATTGAAGAGACTTGCTGGCATCTGGAAGATAGGGAGGAGGAAAGAGGGCTGGCTGGCTGCCTGGCTGGCAGGATAAGAGCACATGGTAATGTTCGCTCAAGGATAAACAATGCTAGACTGGCTGACGATGCCTGCGCGGGCAGGCGGACAGGTTTGGTACGCCAGCCAAAACCCGGGGCAAAATTAGGCTGAAAAAAAGTGGGCGAAACCCGAAGCAGCCAATTCCCAGGGCGGCCAAAACCTGGGGTTTCACTGTACAAGTTAACCACTCTTATCCTGTCTAGATTTAAGTAGTTATTATGTACTAGGATTAATCTGCCCAAAATACCCTGGCATGATAGTAGCTTTCTTTATACTTAGCAAGCCAAAATTGTAATTACACATTGTAACCTTTACAAAGAAATAAACTCTATCTTTACCTTTACGACCAGCTCTCCAACCAGTATGCAAACCTAAGTAATGTGTATTAGAGCTGAGTTCCTTTATTCTGTTTGTTACAGTGTACAGTACACTACTGCATAAACATTTAAAAATATACTAGAACTGTTATAAATGATGCAAAGGTGACACTGAAAAAATATCTAAAGATGGTTGACACAAACCCACTACTACCAGTATAGTATGCTCGTCGCTTAATGGCCAATTCGCTTACCAACCTACTCTTAGGAATGGAACCCTATCATTAAGTAAGGAGAGGCTGTATTAAAAAAGAAAAAGAAATCTGCACAAGATGCATGTTCATATCCAGTATTAACAATTACAATGTGTGCAGATGACGTATGCCAATGTGACAACCCAGCTGACCCAAGCAATGATCAAATACCGTGATGTCCTGTGGACGGTCCCACACCGCTTGGTAGCTCAGATACGCCGCCAATACCAAGCTGAGGCCCTCAAACAACACAACTACACTCCTGTGAGTAATTACTTTTATTATTATTATTATTTACTCCATATGAAAAATTAATAGTCATAAATTAATAGATCAAAAGAACCTGAGTAGTTTCACACATTTATACATATCTTTGAGGAGTTCCTCCAAAGATGTATGTGTATAAATACAGGTACTCCTCAGTGACCTACCTGTTTAAAGACCATTTGGACTTATGACCAGCTCTAAGACCAGTGTACTGTATGTGTATTTTGTTTTTTATTGTTTTTTAATGCCTAGTTGTATTTTTAATATACAGTGGAACCTCCACTTACGAGCATATCCACGTGCAAGTTTTTCTAGATATGAGCAGTCGCTCAGTTGATTTTTTGCTTCCATATGCGAGCGAAATTTCCAGATGCGAGTGGGCCTCAGGGGAGGTTCCTTGACACTGGTGAAGGGCTCTTGCTCTTGATCTAGGGAATTGGATCTCAGTTGCTTGCTAGACTATCTTATTGAAGCTTGGGCAATGTACGATGGAAAGATGCTTCTTAACATACACCAAAAATGAAAGAAATCAGACCATAAATAATGGAGTTCACTTCTCAGCCATTAGCCTCCCCTTTGTGGTATATTTTTGTTTGGTTTTTATGGTTGTATTCTCGTTTTTTTGGTCTCATTTGATAGAATGGAAGATATACTACAGAAATAGATATGATTTGGATTGCTTTCACGATGAAAAGTACCTTGAAATTGAGCTCAAAGTAGCAGAAATGTTCGATTCTGTGGCGATGTTCAAGGATATACAATGATGTCACCGTCCAATACCTGTCCAACTGGCACTGCCCCTCAACCTTCACATATTGGAAAGCTCTTTAACATGCTAGCAAAAGTGGGAGCAGACATCATGAGGTAGCAGTGGCAGACAACATAAAGCAGTAGTAGCAGACATCATGAGGTAGCAGTGGCAGACATGAGAAGAAAAAGAGGATAATTTCCATGGAATTAAAGCAGGAAATCATAGATAAACAAACTAGATGGTGGGTTAAGGGCTTGGCCAGGCAGTACCAGTGTACCACTTCTACGATATGTACAATACTAACCCTTTGACTGTTTTGGTCGTATATATACATCTTACGAGCCAGTGTTTTGGACGTATATATACTCAATAATTCTAGCGGCTTCAAATCAAGCAGGAGAAAGCTGGTAGGCCCACGTGTGAGAGAATGGGTCTGTGTGGTCAGTGTGCACCACATAAAAAAAATCCTGCAGCGCATGAGAAAAAAAACTGACCGTTTTTTTGGATTAAAACGCCAACTTTGAGGTGTATTTTCGTATAGTATTTATTGTTGTATTCTCATTTTCATGGTCTTACGTGATAAAATGGAAAATATATTGCAGAAATAGAGATGATTTTGATTAGTTTTATGATGAAAACGACCTTGAAACTGAGCTCAAAGTAGCAGAAATGTTCAATTTTTACCAATGTTCAAGAGTAAGCAAATCACACCACACATTCAATACACGTCAGCTGGGGAGTCTAATATTCTTTCACTAGTGCACTATTATTATTTATACCATTTTTACAATAATGCAGTAGTCTGCATAACAGTAAATTTTGTATTTTTTGTATGAATAAAAAATCAAAATAGAAAGCAATAGTAATACAACAGGAGCCTAGAGATGTGACTAATGAACAGAGGATATGTTATTTTAGTGCCAAGAATGTCTACATTGTTTATTCTGGACCCTGTTTAAAATTGGCATCTTTTTTAATTTGCATGAAATTGGCCAAATTGCCAATTTCTGACCACTTTACTGGGTAGTTCAAATCGGTAAATGGGCGGTTTCTTGTACTCAGTTGATAGAAAAAATGGAGTTCTAAAGAAATAGCTATGAGTTTGGCCAACTGGAACAACAGAATTGGCCAAAAACAGGGATCAAAGTCGGCGAAATTGCCGATGCGTATACGTCGCCGAGACTGCTAACTTCACGGGAGCATAATTCTGCGAGCTTTTATGTATTTCATTCATTCTAGTGTGTATATCATGTTCTAAGTTATTAAAATTTGCATTCAGATAAATATTGATAGATATAATAACCAAGAATTTATATTAGGGAAACTATTGAAGTATTTTGTGCTGCCTGGAATCGCTGGAAAGTATTAATTTTATTTATTTATTAAATTATTTAATTTATTTAGCTTTGCAAAGTACATTTCTTTCAATTAATTTAAATGGGAAAATTGACTCTGCAAATGAGCAAATCAGTGCGAGCAAGTCACGGAATGGTTAAACTATGTGAAGTTCCACTACTAAAAATGTTATAAAGTGCAAAGGTTTTGTTCAATTTTTTTTTTTACTGTTTTTTCTACTTGTAATGTACAATTTTGTAGTATTCTTCCCATACTTCAATATTAAATAAATTTAAGTTCTGTAAATTTGCTCAAAATTGTTCAGTATTGATTTCGTAACCTTTTTGGTGTGTGCATTAAAATTTCTTCGCCTGTCTTATTTCCCGTTAAAGTAAAGAGACATCTTGCATCCATTGAAAATGAAGTAGATACGGAATGTCAAGAGTCGTGCGACCGCAGTCAAAGATTACCATCATCAAGGTTCTCCATGTACCTGAAAGATGCTTCTCAAATGGTGCAAAGGTTTTGTTCATTCTGTTATTCTTTACTGTTTTTTCCTACTTGTAATGAAAATTTTTTTAGTGTTTTTTCCCATACTGTCACATTTAAAAAATTACTGAAGTCTTCTGTAAATTTGTCTCAATTGTCAGTATTATTTTCTAACCTTTTTGGTGTGTGCATTAAAGATGCGTCGCCTGCTGTTGTCCCGTAAAAGTAAAGAGACAATCCAGCGGCCCATTGAAAATGAAGTAGACTACCAGGAGGGAGTGCTCAGAGTGTCGGCACCGCAGTTCAACAAGACCAATTACCCAGTCAAACTCAATTCTCGAATGACAGCTGGAGACCTTCTCACCAGGTACTAACACTGCATATTACTGACAATCCTGCAATATCCATTAATAATATTACTCACCAGACAAACAAAAAAAATTTTTTTTTTTTTTTTGACAAATCGGTCATCTCCCACCAAAGCAGGGTGACCCAAAAAGAAAATACTTTCATCATCATTCAACACTTTCACCTCATTCGTACATAATCATTGTCTTTGCAGAAGTGTCCAGATACAACAGTTTAGAAGCATATATAAAGATACACAACATATCCCTCCAAACTGCCAATATCCCAGACCCCTCCTTTAAAGTGCAGGCATTGTACTTCCCATTTCCAGTACTCAAGTCCAGCTATATAAAAATAACTGGTTTCCCTGAATCTCTTCATTAAATATTGCCCTGCTCACACTCCAATAGCTCGTCAGGTCCTGAAAACCATTCGTCTCCATTCACTCCTATCTAACACTCTCAAGCACGCTTGCTAGAAGTCCAAGCCTCTCGCCCACAAAACCTTTACCCCCTCCCTCCAACCTTTTTGAGGACGACCCCTACCCTGCCTTCCTTCCCCTACAGATTTATACACTCTCCATGTCATTCTACTTTGATCCATTCTCTCTAAATGACCAAACCACCTCAACAACCCCTCTGACTAATACATTTATTAACTCCACACCTTCTCCTAATTTCCACACTCCGAATTCTCTGCATAATATTTACACAACACATTGCCCTTAGACAGGACATCTCCACTGCCTCCTCGCTGCAGCATTTACAACCCAAGCTTCACACCCATATAAGAGTGTTGGTACCACTATACTTTCATACATTCCCTTCTTTGCCTCCATAGATAACTTTTTTTTTATCTCCACATATACCTCAATGCACCAATCACCTTTTTTCCTTCATCAATTCTATGGTTAACCTCATTCTTATTCTTCATTAATAATTTTTTCATGAAAACCTTTGACAGCCACCATATATACAGGGCCTGTCTAGGCCAGGAAGTTCATAGCTTGTCAGTAGTCCCCATATTCTTTCAGTTGTATTTAAAAATCTAAACAATTTTTTTTAACACTGCAAGAAAAGATAACTTTAGTGTGTAGACTCTTCACTGGAGGAGTGGTTATTGACTTGGCCACTTGATACTGGAGTTCCGCAGGGAAGTGTCCTTGGTCCCCTGCTCTTCCTCATATACATCAATGATCTTCCAAACGTATACCAACACCTGAAACCCATTCTCTTTGCTGACGACACGACTTACGTCATCTCTCACCCTAATCTTGCCACCCTCAACACCATTGTTAACGAGGAGCTGATCAAAATATCGACTTGGATGACAGCCAATAAACTTACGCTTAACACTGACAAAATCTACTATATTATGTTTGGTAGCAGAGCAGGAGATGCACAAATTAACATTAAGATCGACAACACTCTAATTACCAGACATAATGAGGGCAAATTCCTAGGCCTATACCTTGACAACAACCTGAATTTCAGCACCCATATCCAACACATAACCAAAAAAGTATCCAAAACGGTTGGGATCCTCTCCAAGATACGATACTACGTGCCGCAAAATGCCCTTCTCACACTATACCACTCACTTATTTATCCATACCTCGCCTATGCCATTTGTGCTTGGGGATCAACTGCAGCAACACACCTAAAGCCAATAATAACCCAACAAAAAGCCGCAGTAAGAATAATCACTAAATCTCATCCCTGGCAACACATCCCCCCACTCTTCATAGATCTAAACTTACTCCCTGTTCAGTACATCCACACTTACTACTGTGCAATCTACATCTACAGGACCTTAAACTCCAATCCTGACCAAAATGCTTCTAGTGACAGACCACGTAAACAGACACAATCATAAATTCAGGCCGTTTCCAATTAGATGTCAAGGCTAATCTGACACTTGATCAGAACCAGACACACTACAAATCAGAAAACTATCCTGATCCGTCAATAACGCACGACATGTTTCACACTACATCACTCCATTACCATACAGAATATATCTCCTATCCATCAATTGTTGTCGTGCCGCAATCAATCTAAACCACACTATTACATACAAATAAATCCAATAGTAATATTAGATAACAATCCGAATGCCCTCTATGTTCTAAACATCTGTATATTGTAACATAAACCACCAATAACTGACGTAAACTCTTACTTGAAAACTGAGATGCATAAAGGCACTTTATTTAGGTCGTTCATATCTAACAATCTTCACAAACCCATGTCCACCAGTGAACTCTAAACTGAAACAGCACTACTAGACATAATCTTATCTCCTGATACTCCTCAACTAACAGGCAACCGTATTAAATAGCACCTGGTGTACACTTACACTCACTCACCCATTTGAACATAAACAGAAGATTAATCTCATATCCTTAAATATTGAGATCCTGGTGGAATATTCAATCGAAACTAATGTACTGGTTTTACAGGTTCATCGAGGAGCTGACACTCCTGCCAGAGAACCCTAGACGTGTGGAGGGTCGACGAGAACTGCAGTACAAGAGGGTGGCCATAGGCAATGGTTCCCCACCGTCTACAACTTTGTCACAAAATACTTCGACACCTCATTATCTTTCATGCCTGCTTACTGGCTCACTAAAGAACACAGTCCAGCAACATGCTCTGCATGAGATAGGTGGAAATATTGGTAAGCACAACTTTACAATGTTCATGCTTGTGATGAAACTCAAAACTGGCTGTTCCCAAGTTCATGTTTTATATTTTCTGAGTATCATACATTTTTTATTATACCTCTTATCTGTTTGTGAATTGTAGTTCTCTTTCAGTGGATTTTGTCTCATTAACTATGCTTTAAACAGGAGATCGTCGGCTGGATCCAAATGCCAAGCTCTTGGCAATATACCAGGACAACCCCAATGCAGAGTTTGTGGTGAAGTGCCATCACAAAGGAGGTCAGATTTCAAGAAGAAACTCATAGTAATCACAGACTAATACAAAACATAAGTAATCTTCAAACTCACAAGTGTTCCTTACAGTGTCTCCAGATCTGGAGAATGTTAATATGAGATTGTGAAAAGTGCTCAAAGTCTTGACATTTATTTTTTTGAATACAGCAGCCATATCCTTCCAAGGAAGGGTAACTCAGAAAAAGGAAACGCAATCATCATTCATTCATTAGGTGTCTTGCCAGGAGTACAAGGAACAACAATTGAAATGACCCTATGAACTGCAGCATCCTCACTCCCTCCAGGGTGCAGGCACTGTACTTCCCACCTTTAGGCATTGAGTCCAGCTAGCTGGTTTCCTAGAATCCCTATATAAATATTACCTTGCTCACACTCCAGTAGCATATCAAGCCAAAACATCCACTCTGATCTAACATGGTCACAAAAGCCAGCTGGTAATCAAGTCTCTTGAATTCAAAACCTCCATTACAACCCCTCCCTCCAACTCTTCCTTGGATGACCCATACCCTTGTTTCCACCTTCTTACTCATCCTATTCTGATCCATCCTCTCTAAATGTCCAAACTACATCAACATCCACACCTCAGCCCTCTGAATTATACCTTTTGTAATTCCACATTATTTTCTAATTTCTTTGAGAAACTGAAATTTATTTTTTTTTTTAGTCGGTAATTTTTATTTTTAAAGGTACTGATTCAGCACGAACAAAATATCTGAAAGCCTCTGACATATGAAATATTACTGTACATAGCCATAATAAAGGTGAGTAACAGTTATAAAAGTGTTAACACTTAAGGAAAAATGTTTCAACAATACATCATATTGCTGAATAACATTATAATGTTTGTAGACATATGCATTCAGTTACATATATGAATAATAAATAAAAATAAAATATGAATACTGTTCTTTATGCTTTAAGGTTATTATTACATTGATTCATAACACTTATTAACCAATTGCTAGTCAGAATTGTATGTCTTGTTGCATCAGGTAAACCTTAATTCATCAGATGTGCTCAGTGTAATCATGAAGTGTTACTCATGTTTGAACCTTCATGTGTTTGACCCACAGGCATTCTTGAATGAGGTTTCATATCTTTAGTGTACAGTTAGTCTTTTGTTTTATCTATTTAATAGTATTAATGACTGCTTATGGTTATCTACTTATGTAAAATATAAACTTGCTCACAAACCTAAGAAATTGTGGGGGCTACTGTTTCACTATAGCAATGGTATGTACATTATATATATATATACTTGTTCTAAACCATATATCATGTATGGTTTAGTGAAAATGTAACAAATGTAATAACATGCTATATATTTATATTGGGGAACTTTCATTACCAGTGACACAATCAGTAGTAACATTCAGTGCAATACACAGAAGCAGCATATTTCCTAGGAGATCGTACATGTTCTCCAGGGGTGTATTGTTATGTTTAGTTCACTGCTGAGGACTATTAAAACAAGTCAAGTAAAAGACCCTGGTCTTTCTGCTGGAGTTTGATGTCATTTGCTCTTCTTTTGTATCATGAGAATTGGCACTTTTTTGCCTACACATTTTTATATAATCTTTACTATATGAAAACTGGTTAAGAATTTTTGTACCATAGTGTAACTAACTTGGGTACCCATGCATGGGAACAACTGTCATAAATGATGTACATGAGAGTCAATGTTCTTCACCTACTGATCATAATGAAATCATTGTATAATTGAAATACAGTACTGCATAATTAAAAGTTAATGCATGCACTGCAAAATTTTCCTGTTGCCTGCCAATCATGAGTACAGTACCTAGTAACAGGTACATACTAATAATAATTTTATTTCTACAAGTACATATACAAGGTATACAGGCCTAGCTGACATCAATGACATACTACTATATAGAAAGCCACTTGTTATGCAAGCATTTCAGGCAAATTAGGTCAGTTTTGTCCCAGGGTGAGACCCACACCAATCGACTAACACCCAGGTACCCATTTTATACTGATGGATGGACAGCAGCTGTCTTATAAAACACATCCTAATGTTATCCAGCCGTACTGGGGATTCAAACTCCGGACCTTAGTGTGTTCGATGAGTGTGCTGGCAATTGAGCTATGGGACTCCCATGGGACACTAGTGTTATGTTCTGGTTAGGTGCTAGACATCCCTGAATCTGTGCTAAAATATTTACTATGCTGTTAAAAGGTAGTACAAGTATTAAGAATGTAGGTAGGGTCTTGCTATTGAACAAGGCTGAAAGCTTATATTAGTTAACAATAACCTGACTATTGGGTCCTATTACTCAATATCACTTCAAGGTTTTCAAACTAGTATCATTACATTAATGGTATACATTATCAACAAGTTGATAAATAAGACGTGTAAGGCCTGGTAATCTTTTCTGATGTTTTGTTAACCAGTAACTTTCTCAATCCAATACAAAGAACAAAGCTGGAATAAGCAGAGAAGCAGTTCTGAGGTGATCAGTCCCTCAGCCTTTATAGGTGGAGTTCAGTATCCAAGTCTTAATGATTAATGAATCATGATTCATCAAGAAGGATTTAAATCTTCAGATACCAAAGCTGAGGGACTAAACACCTCTTAAGGCTGGATTGAAAAAGCAAGTGATTGGCAAAACATTTCCATCAATAAATATTACCAGGCCTTACACATGTCTTATTCATCAATACCGCAAGGTCTTGTTAGTCAATATGCTGTAAAAGTAAATGAGATGGGAATACATGCTTATACAGTGAAACTTGTCCATTTTTCATGTTTACACTATCATACATTAAATGAGCAACAGAGATAGGCCTAAAAAATGAATATACAGTACACACATTACTTCTTTCAACAAACCGGCCGTATCCCACCAAGGCAAAGTGGCCCAAAAAGGAAAACGAAAGTTTCTCTTTTAAATTTAGTACTTTATAGAGGATAACAGGGTTCTAGCCCCTTGCTCCCTGCATTTTAGTTGCCTCTTACGACATGCATGGCTTACGGAGGAAGAATCCTGTTCCACTTCCCCATGGAGATAAGAGGAAATAAAAGTATTAGTCAGAGGGCTGAAGAGGGGTTGTTGAGGTGGTTTGGTCATTTAGAGAGAATGCATCAAAGTAGAATGACATGGAGAGCGTATAAATCTGTAGGAAGGAAGGCAGGGTAGGGGTCATCCTCGAAAAGGTTGGAGGGAGGGGGTAAAGGAGGTTTTGTGGGCGAGGAACTTGGACTTCCAGCAAGCATGCATGAGCATGTTAGATAGGAGTGAATGGACACGAATGATATTTGGGACCTGACGAGCTGTTGGAGTGTGAGCAGGGTAATATTTAGTGAAGGAATTCAGGGAAACCAGTTATTTTTATATAGCCGGACTTGAGTACTGGAAATGGGAAGTACAATGCCTGCACTTTAAAGGAGGGGTTTGGGATATTGGCAGTTTGGAGGGATATGTTGTGTATCTCTATACATATATGCTTCTAAACTGTTGTGTTCTGGGCACCTCTGCAAAAGCAAAGATTATGTATGAGTGAGGTGAAAGTGTTGAATGATGATGAAAGTATTTTCTTTTTGGAGATTTTCTTTCTTTTTGGGTCACCCTGCCTTGGTGGGAGACATGCATGTGTAGTGTGACCTAAGTGTAAGTGGAAAAAAGACACCAGCAATCCTGCCAGCGTATAAAACAAGTACAGGCTTCCGTTTTACTCACTTGGCAGGACAGTAGTACTTCCCTTAAAATATTTTCATCCTTAGCTTATAATGAGTGGTGAACATATATATTGTAGGAAGTCTGAATGAACTGAATACAGTGGACCCTCTCTTTTTGTCTTTAATTTGTTCCAGAGTGTCTGACGAAATGTGAAATCGACTAAAACAGAAACCATTTTCCCCATAAGAAATAATGTAAATCCAATTAATCCATTCCAGCCACCCAAAAGTATTAACAAAAAAAAATTTTATACATTAAATATAGATTTACATACAGAAAAGAATGAGAAATCCAATATAAAACAATAAAAACATAACACTTACCTTTATTGAAGATTCTTGTTGGTGAATGGTAGACAGAGAGGAGGGGAGAGGGAGGAGAATTCACTATTGTTTGAAGGGGAAATCCTCTTCCATAAAGACTTTAGGTAACAAGTCCTTATCCTGGGATACTGCCCTTCTTTGTTTTTTAATGGCACTAGGACCAGCTTGAGAGTTACTTGACCCCTGTCTCACAAAAAATTGTTCCGGACAGCTCTGTTTCCGGCATCTCTCTAAAATTTGCCTAAAATGGGACATGGCATTGTCATTGTACATGTTGTCAACACGGCTTGTAACAGCTTTGCTAAGGTGATGTTCTTCCACAAATGTTTGCACCCTACTCCACATTGCAAAAATCTCCTTAATCTCTGAAGAAGGCACCTTCTCTCTCTCTTCCTCCTCCTCTGAAGCAGTTTCCTCAGCTGTGCTCTGTTGCAGATGAAGCTCTTCAGTGGTTAGCTCTTCACTATGGTCCTCCACCAACTCTTCACATCCTAGCCACACACATCCAACTCCATGGAATTTCCCAATGCCACAATACATTCCAAAACAGGTGTAGGGTCGACAGGGTCAGAACCAAACCCTTCAAAATCCCTCTCTTGGACACATTCTGGCCACAATTTTCTCCAAGCAGAGTTCATCATCCTGGAAGTCACTCCCTGCCAAGCCTTACCTACAAGGCCTATGCAATTGAGGATAGTAAAGTGATCTTTCCCAAACTCCTTTAGGGTTAACTGAGTGTCTGAGGTCACATCAAAGCACCTTTGAAACACTGCTTTGCTGTAGAGTATTTTGAAGCTTGAAATGATCTGCTGGTCCATGGGCTGGATGAGAGGAGTGGTATTAGGGGGCAAGAACTTCACTGTGATGAAATTAAACTCCTCCACCATTTGGTCATCCAGGTTTGGAGGATGACCAGGAGCATTGTCCATTACCAGGAGGCACTTGAATGGCAATTTATTTTCCAGGAGGTATTTCTTCACACTCGGGCCAAACACTTCATTGAACCAATCAATGAAAATTTCCCTCATGACCCATGCCTTACTGTTAGCCTTCCACATCACACACAGTTTACTCTTGGTGACACACTGTTTCTTGAACACTCTGGGATTTTCAGAGTGATACACCAGTAAAGGCCTCACTTTTAAATCCCCACTAGCATTACCACAGAGCAAGAGAGTTAGCCTGTCTTTCATAGGCTTGTGTCCTGGCAGTGCCTGTTCCTCCTGCGTGATGTAGGTCCTCTTTGCATTTTCTTCCAGAAGAGGCCTGTTTGTCACAAATGAACACTTGTTGGGGGACGAATCCTTCAGCCTCTGTGTACTCCTTGAACTCATGCATGAATTTTTCTATCACATGTTCATCTGAACTTGCTGCCTCACCATGCCTTACAACACTGTGCATGCCACTATGCTTCTTGAATTTTTCAAACCAGCCTTTGCTGCCCTTAAATTCACTAACTTCAGCACTCGTTCGAGGCATTTTCTTTACGAGATCGGCATGCAACTGCCTTGCCTTTTCGCAAATTATTGACTGCACAATTCTATCTCCCGCTAATTGTTTCTCGTTGATCCACACCAACAACAATTTCTCGACACCTTCCAGTGTTTGTGACCTCTGTTTTATCACTTTTACCCCTTTTGCAACACCAGCTTCCTTGATTTCATTTTTCTTCACTACAATGGAAACGATGGTTGATGCAGGCTTGCCGTACATCCTTGCGACGTCGATCACACATGAGCCACGTTCATACTTTTCAATGATTTCTTTCTTTAATTCTATAGTGTTTCTCACTTTCTTTACCAAAGGGCTGGCACTAGCAGCTTTGTTTGGGCCCATGGTGGCTTATTTAGCAGTCACACAGAACAAACAAGTGCAAGAAACAATGAATTATTACAAAGTTTCCAGACATAATAGATCTACTCACAGAGAATGTAAACAAACCGGGTGGTGCGCACTGTATTTGAAAGACCGCTTGCTGTATAGCAAATTTTGGTCATAATTTGAAATTGCCATATTAGCAGAACGCCGTAAGGCGAAGCACCGTAAAACAGGGCCCTATTGTACAGGCAAAAAGTCTGAATACGGTTTCCAATTACCTCTCTTGTTTTTATCTACAACATGGTTATATTATAATTATAGATCAAAAGTATATACAGGTGTGCCCTGCCTTACAGTGCTTCGCTTCATAGTGTTTGCTAATGCAGGGGTTTTCATTTATACCCTTTCTTCATTTATTTAGACTTCTACAGTAAACATATTCACCACTCACTGAAAGCTAAGGATGAAAATATTTTAAGTAATATGTGTACTGTATATGCATTTTTTAGGCCCAGCTCTATTGCTCACTTAAAATATGTTAGTGTAAACTTGTCAACAGACTTATATGCATCTGAAAGTGAAAAAAGCTATGATTTGCTTTACAGGACCCTCCTGTAATACAAAAACTGATGAATAAGACATGTGCAATATTTGGTTATCTTTGTATGAGGGATGTTTTGCCTACCAGGTCTTTTATCAATCTAATACAGAGACATGAGAAGTGGAACTAGTAAAGCAACAAAGCAGTAGTACTGGTTACATCAGCATGGATGGGGCCTGCTATATATTATTTGAAGATGTTCATTACAACTCCATTGCTAAATCTCTGGCCCATCTTGAAAACTGAGGAGAATACAGCCCTATGGACACTGGAACCTTAGGAACACAATCTAACTTGCACACAAGAAGGATGAACCTACCATAATACTGTAACCTATGAATCTTAACCTAACCCAAACTGAGCACACAAGCTAGAGAAACACAGCAAGGGGCCTGCTGACCTACACTAAGCAGTGAATGTATAATTCACTGTAGACCAAGGCTATGGCACTGAACACATTTTGTAAAATGTTATAATTTTGATCAAGGCTAAGGAACTGAACACCTTAAAATTACATCTCCTACTGCCTCATCACTCTACTATTTTCACCTCACTGTTTTTACTACTATAAAAGGCTCCTTATATATCTGTATCAGATTGGTAAAGCCCCTAGTGAGCAAAAAAGTCTCGAATAAAGATACTCAGGTGTTACTGCCCATGTGCCTAATTCACCAACTATATTATTATTATATTCTTAAAATAGCTCAAAATTAAAATGGCTATACAGCTGTCTTTGATCAACACAGCTATATAGTGTTGGTCAACACAACTTCCTGTAGTGTTGTTTTGGTCATTTTAGTAAACATAATTAACTATAAGATCTGTATCACACATGTATTCTTCATAATTTTGGTTTCCTGAATGAACTAGCAAATTAAGGTAGCTGTGAAACGAGGACTGTCTTTCTACCTGCCAGAGTATCAGTACATAATCAAATATCCTGCATCTTCAGAGTTTGTATATTTTTGTACAAGTCACATGTGCAAGTGCAGTTGTGGTTGAGAGGGTCGAGTCTGTTCTTGGCTTTGGGCACTGCAAAGTAAGGAAAAGATCACATATTAATTGCAAATTTCTCTCTGTTGTAATTTTCAGAGAGAGTTTTTGCTTGTTGAAATCATAATTGCTCATAAGTATTGTATATAACTGCATTCACTCAGTTTCTCTGTACATTTTGACTTTTCTATATATTAGTTTCATCTCAATGAAATTTGTTTTGTATTGTCTCAGTGTCTTTTTCTCATTTATGAATACCTTAATGTATATGTAATAATTATTTTGTGTATAGTTTATATGCTCTTGTATACCTTTGTTTATTAACTTACCTGTACAGTGGAATACATATGCGACAATGTACAATCTTCCTCTGTAAGAAATGGTTCTACAACTACTACAAATGTACCTGTATTAAAACATGCTATAATAGAATTAAAGAATTGGTTTTGTTTGCCTATTGATTCTGAACAGAAAAATAAGAATACGACCTCTCCTCACTTAACGACGGAGTTCCGTTCCTAAGACCACGTCAGTAAACGAATTTGTCGCTAAGTGAGGAGCATACCATAATGATAGTGCATATGTGTCAACCATGTCTGATATTATTTTAATTCACCATGTACCATTTGTAAACATTTCTGGTATATTTTTAAATGTTTATAACAGAGTGTAACTGTACACTGTAATAAACAGAAATAGAAAGAAATCAGCTTCTTATATACATTATTTAGTATGCATACTGGTCCCAGGAGGAGCCTGTCGTAATCAATCGTCAGTAAGCGAGGAGAGTTGAATTACAATATCAATGGGAGTTCCTGATGCTGGTGAAAGGCTTTTGATCGAAGGAAGTGGGCGTGTCTTTTTGCTATCCAATCCCCCCCAGGCACTGTATGACCCATATGAAGTTTACGTGCTCTCCAATGAAATAATTAAAAGATATATTAATGATAATGTGTGAATATGGTGAAAAGCATTTCTTTTTTGGGTCACCCTACCTCGGTGGGAGACAGCTGACGTTTTGAAAAAAAATCAGTAATAATTCATAAAGTTCACATGTCAGTTGATCAATTATTCTTAGTATGCAGTATGTAGTAATTGTTCAGTAATTACAGTGGACCCTCGACCAACGATATTAATCCGTTCCTGAGAGCTCATTGTTAATCGAAATTATCGTTAGTCGAGTTAATTTTCCCCATAAGAAATAATGGAAATCAAATTAATCTGTGCAAGACACCCAAAAGTATTGAAAAAAACAATTTTTCACCACATGAAATACAGGTCTCCCTCAACATTCACGTTTTCAACTTTCACGGGCTTCACACATTTGCAAATTCCCAACCGCCAAATTCCCAGCCACCAAATTCCCAGCCCCAAATCCATATTTAAGTTTCCAGCCACCGCTGCAAGTCCCCTACTACCCTCCCTCCGAACCCGCCCTGCAACTGTGCAGCCAGCCCTCCCCACCACTCAGTGTGTGAGTGTTTTGTGTGTTCATTATTTGCCATTAAACTACAGTATAAATAATTTAAGACCCATTCATGACTGCATATTGGAATGGCTATTCGACAGGTTATTAGAGGTGACACAGCATGTGTTTACTCCTGATGTGAAATTGTGTGGACTGCCTCAAGTGAGTCGCCTACACTGCAAACTCTGTTGACACCAAGCTCTGAAGTGGGTACCTCGCCTCACAGTGGCTTATAGGAACAAGATTTTTCACAAATGATGCTGTTGCAAGAAACCTCGCCTTCATGCAACGTAAAAAGGACTAACTACTTGGTGTTGGCAGCATAGTCCTGATCTTCAACTTCTAAGCTTAGCCCTAGCCCCTTTGGACTTCCCCCAGAATACCACGTGCAAGCCGGAGCCTTAATTCCTGCAATATTCAATCGTTATTAGAGACCGCCTGCACCTCAGAAATTCCTTATCCAAGAGGGTGTGTATCCCCTAGTACAACTATTGCAGACACGGACACTAGCTTCTACATAGACAAGAGACACTGGTACTTACTGGCATGCACTTCCCAGCCTGCAACACAGGCCCCAGATCAACTCACTCACAAACTCCCCAGTACACTGCCAAAATCTACGAGAGAAAGTGGAGGTTTTGTCTTACTGTTGGGCCTGATGAGGAGGTCATCACGGACATCGAGGTGCTCTACCAGAATTTCCCCAGGTCTCAAATGTAAAAAGAAGTGGGGCGCCGTTCTGCTGATCACAGCACGTCTTGTCCAGTTGGTGTTCTGTCTTATAAGAACGAGCTGTCTCTCTTCAGACCTCGTCTCTTCGTTCAAACTAGGGCTGCCGAGTTCTCCCTAGCTTAACTTATCCTAAGTGTTTGCCTACATTTATCGGCCTATTACTCACCTATGTTAAGGTCTTAAGGTCTAACCATTATTATTATCTACATGTTGCCTTTATTAGTAAACCTAATATTTAATATACGTATTCAGTAAAACTACGCTACTCCTTCCCTGAAGGTGAAATCTATATTAAATAAGCTTACCAACAATCCACGCCAACTCGAGAGAAAGCTTAGTTTTGAGTGGGTATAAAGTGCCACCCAGCATAGCCGTGTCCATTACGGCATGCCGGATCTGTCCTGTGGAACTTTTAGGACCAAATAAGTTTCCACATCCTCCCGCCGGCAAAGGTAGGCGCTAAGTCTAGATCAATTCATGCCTCCCGCAGGCCCCCCAGTGGGCCCTGGACTTGAGCGCCGTTCGACGGGTCATCCGGCCGCTCACATATTCAGTCAGCCTCTGGGTCTAATTTCTCAGTCCCGTCCCCCGTGGGACCTCACGAGGTAAAAGCCTGTTGAAGTGCTTATAGTCTCGACACCATTCATTCTCACCTCACCATTCTCAACCGCCCAGCCTTGTCTGGGTGGGGTCACGACACTACCAGGCCAAGAGGCCATAATGCCCTGGGCGCCTCGATTCTACTAAGCACCAGGTCCCCTTCACGTAGCATCATCTTATTTGCCTCTGCGTCCCGGCACATAAAATGTTTCCCGCAGGGTTGTCAAGATAATCCCTGCCCACACCTGGTTCCATTTGTCCAGGATGTTCACCAGTCTGTTGTGACTCCTGTGCAATTCTTCATTGAGGGGGGCGCATCTGGTCCCATAATAATCCAGCTCCTTGGAAGACTGACTCAAAATTGCAGGGAAGGGCTCAATCCATTCTTCAAAACAGCATGTGATTGGGGTGAAGCTTCTACCATCAATCTCCCATTTTGCAACGTAGGTCAGAGGCCTGTTATGAACTCTTGCCTCTATCTCCGCTAACTCTGTCCTCAGTTTATCAAAGCTCACTCTCCTGCCGTGCAAGACCTTCCGAATGCACCCTTTGCTGTGCCCACCATCGTTCAAAGAATCCCCCCTTGCCAAGGCGCCCTGGGAGCTATGAAACCTCCACTCGCCAACTCCTATTCTCATTCAGGTGTTTTCTCAATACTTCTCCATTGTCCCTAAGATTCCTGAAATAACTCTTTTAATCGCCGCCCTAGAAGCTTGTGCCACTATCCGAGATAATCAATCGCGGGCACGAGAAACTGGCTAGTAAACCCTCCTGAACAACTTCACGAAGTCTCTGTTGAACATATCTTCTGCCAACTCCAAATGCACAGCTCGAGTAGTGGCTCAAGTAAACAGGCAGACATATACTTTCTGAGGGCCCACCCTATCGTCTCCTGGTTTCTTCAATGTGGATAGCCCCCAGTATAGTCTATTCCCACAGTCTCAAAGGGCTTGTCACTAGTACCGCGCTCCAGAGGCAGTGGAGGTGGACCTGGTATGGTAGGGTCCTCCCATCGTAACGCCGCAGACCGTGCAACCTTTAGCACCCTTTTGATGGCAGCCGACCCTTCAGACCCAGAATTCTGACGTAGGCAGGTGAGGGTATCTCCCAAATCCCCCCATGTAAGGTCCTCTGATGGCATCTTGATCTAATAGCTCTGAAGTCGCCCATCCCTCCTTTCCCAGTAGCAGCACGGATGTTTAGGGCCCCATAGCTGAGCTCAGAGTTTTGTATTCCGTCCCCTGCATCTTATAGCCCCGGCATGCTCTAGGAACAATCCCAAAGATGGGACCAATTTATCTGTTCCCTGAGTGTCGTTGACACACGTCTGCTCCATAAACCTGCTGCCTGGTCACCAGTACTTCAGCACTCCTTCTGGAAACCTCTAACCTTTTGTACTGCCTTATCCAATATTCTCTGGACCCACAGAGACAATTGTAGACCTTGGCTTACCTTGTCCATGCAGCTTCCTCACAAATCGAAATACATTTCCCGTGACTCTATAAGTTTCCTCCAAGAGGAGTATCGCCTGGGGTCACATAATTCAGTGTCAGGTTCCCCCGCAAAGATTGTACTATGCTGCGTGGTTTGGCTCTCCCCGAATTACGCTCCGGCAGCAATCCATGCCGCAACCATCTGGGCCTTTGAACCAATCTCACTTTTACTCAGCTTTTTGTGTGTCACCCCCTCAGCTTATCAGGTCGGCTGGGTTTTGATCTGTAGCAACGTACAGAATTGTTGACATTGACTGTAGTTTCCCATATCTCCTTTACCCGATTCCTGACTAGAATGGAGCTTAGACCTGTCGTTCTGGACCCACTGTAAGGTGCCACTCCGAGGTCTGTCCATACATAGTGTGTGCCACCCTCAGATTACTTCCAAACCCCTCTAATCGTACTTACCCAGTCTTGCTCTCCCAGCAACATCGCCTGATCTCTAGCTTTGGGATCGAGCAATCCTTCAGGGTGCACCCGCGCACAGACTGGTGCCATACTGACCTGGTCCCCCGGCCACCAAATTACACTACTGCCCCAAAGGCCTGGAGGAGGCATCACAGAAGACATGCAAGGCATAGTTCCTGCCCGTGCACCCGATTGTCCTGGGGAATGTAACTCAGGCAATTCCACTAGATCTTTGCTAACCAGATCCCTCTCCTGGCAGACTGTTTCTGGCAGTGTGGTCATCCCAACCTAGGTTCTGCTCCCAGGTCTGTTGCACTAGCATCCTCCCTCGAATGGGATGGGTGTCCAACAAACCCAAAGGAACGAAGGCATCTGCACTTAGCTCAGCAAAGACCTCCTAGTCAGCTTCACTTCCCATCAGGTTTCCTCTCTAGCCTAATCCGTCTTCCTTGATTTCCCCTCACTCCAGTCCCAACACCGATGTTTACCTCAGAGTACTGAGTAGCCAGCATAGTCATGTTCCCAACATGCCCCGCAAGGTTGATTGTCACCCATTCTCTCAATGGCATGTAAGGCCGAGAGCATCCTCCTGTTAGACCTCGGTAAATGTCCTCAGTCAGCCTTTCATCTGAGGTGGTACCCTTCATTTTGTCCACCATAAAATGAGGATCCTCAGTAATTCAAT